TCCTAGGAATTTCTCTTTGGTTTTCTCTCTCACAATGGACTTTGCTCAAGAAAACTTCAGCAGAGCTGAAGGTCACCAGAGGACCTAAATGTGCTTCCTGGTCAGTTGAAATTATGATAAGAACACACTACCTGTGAAAGATTCCATGATTTCCATGTTTCTGTGAATGCAACTTGATAAGGAAATGTTTTGTTAGAATAATACACTTTCACTTAGAACCAACACATAGTCTTCTGCATCTTTTTTGAAATAGTTTATAATTCCAGAAAGAGATACTAGACTTACATTGAAATGTACATTTGTTTTTATTGTCCTCAGATTTCTGCATTAGGCTTTTTTTTTTTTTTATTAAAAGGCACAGATACTGTCAAGGCTGACTTTGGAATATTAATCTTAGTTGAAGCTTACTTTTTTTTGTTTTTCTTCCAGTGGTAACAAAGCTTGTAAACAGAGGATACCAACCACATTTGGAGGACTTTCTGCTGCGAATCAACTTTAATAACTACTACAAGGATAACTGAACTCTATATAGAGTAAGGATGACTGATAACATAGTAAAACAGAAACTATATATATATATATATATATATGTGCTTATGATTTATAGAAGCTTATGCAAATGCCATGCAAGGGGCATTTTTCTTCAGTGAAATAACCCACTATCTACTAGCATGAAGAAAATAACCACCAAATACAGAGCATGATGCTTAAAAATCCACCAAACCTGCCCGTTGTTCGATCTGCTGAAAATTGATGTTGTCATTATTGCAGAGATAGAAAAGCTGAGTGCCAGATCTTCACACAGGAGAGGAGAGAGTGCAAAACTGTATATCTGTGAATGTGTAAATGTTGTATTCTCAGTGATGTGAATTTCCTTCAGTGTAAATACATGTATATGAAATAAATTAACAGAGACTTTCTAAAACTGCACTTGGTAATTACTGGATAACTCATGCCAAATTTAGGTTCTTTATATCTAATTTAAGCTGTGCATCTTATTTTGTGGTGATTATGTAGAACACCTAAAACAGAAATTCAGCATCACTAAAGCAAAACAAAATATCCCAACTACTGCTTTCAACTGAAGGATCACATTTTCAATTTGCTAATAATTTTCCTTTTCCTTCATTTTTTTTCTGTATTGTGAAAAGCGACAACTGAACTTTCAACTTCATGGTATGAGAAGGTTTTAGAGAGGCAGTCAGCTTTGAAATATGTTGATTTTGAGATTCTGGAGTCACAGTTGCTTAAAATGTGGACATATTCATCAGGAGCTCTTTGTCTGATTAGGGAACACTTATTTAAAGGTGTAGGCCTGGCTAGCATGTTAACAATACCATGAAATATTGAATAAGATTATTTTCTTCTGATGTATAGGTAGTTTTATGATTTTTTTTTCTTAAATAGAAATAAGCATGAGAGTCAGAACATACCAATGGTGAAGTTGACCTGAGTGTTTCTGCTCCTACTCTGATTCCAAAGTCAGTGTAAAAACGGGGTAATGCACAGTTGTAGCATACATGCTCTATGCTGTTTCTTTATCTGTGTGATGTATTTAATTGACTATCTGCCTTCTGTTCTACAGAACAGGGGATTGAAAGAGCAAACGGCTCACAAACTGAGCTATTTTGTTGCCTGGCCAGGCAGAGAGCTATTTTGGGAATTTGTAGGACTGGGTGTGTATGTGCCTTCTGGTGCAGACTGATGTCTTGTCGTGAAGCACCTAGACTTCCCACTAGAGAGCAACCACACAGCTTCATGGGGAGCAGTATCTGATGTCTGGGACTTTGGAGCTTGGCACTGCACTGTAACTGTAGAAAGACAGAGTTTTATCTTTCCCATGAACTCAGAGTAACTCCTGGAGGAACAGCACACATACCTGCTGCTCAGCTCTCCAAAATGCCTGAAGGCCGCTGACATAGGCAGCCACGAGAGGGTAGAAAGAGGGAAGAGAGAAAAAGGGATTCAGAGCACCTAAATGAAAGTCCTGGTATGATTACACAAGAGGAGTAGCCTTTTCTTGCTTGACTTCTGAAAGAGTGCTCCCTGGTGAAGGAAAAGGAGGGCAAGATTAGTAATAGCTAAAAACTTCTCAACTGCAAGCTCTGATGAATACTGCAAAGTTGGGACTTTAGGTGCAATCTTAGAAGGATGATCTCCTTCCTTAGAGACAAGCCTTCAGAAAAAAAATGAGAGCAAAGTATGGAAATTAAGACACATAGCCCTCCCACACCACTCCCCATTTTCATTGCTGAGCACGATGCTATAGAGCATGGATTAGCCCTTTGGCCAGCTCAGGTTAGTTGTGTCCCTTCCCAGCCTCTGACCTACCTCCTGGGCAGGGGCCAAGGGAGGGAAGAGACAGCCTTGACACTCTGCAAACACGGTTCATCAACAGCCAAAACACAGCTGTGTTATCAGCCCTGGTTTAGCTGCAAATCCAAAACACAGCCCAGCAACAGCCTGCTAGGAAGAAGGTTAACTCCATGCTGTCCAGACAAAGGAAGATTAACTTTGATTTGGAAAATACTGCTTGTTTAGGAAGAGCAGTTAGGAAATATTAAGAATGTCCTAAAACTAAAAAAACTAATGTGTATCTTCAATTTTTGTAGTGTTATATAAGCACTTCATATAGAAGTGGTTGTATTAGCTCTCTGCTTTTCTGCACAGTAAAACTTCTGAGTGCAAGGGACTGAAAATCATCTACAAATCAGAATTCTGATCCACACCTTGGCACTGGTAAATCCTAAATAAAGGTGGAAGGGTGAAAGCCCCACAGCCAGCACAGCTACAGTGTACAGAGCCTGCCAGAGGCAGCTCAAGAGCATTCCCTCCTTGACCTCCTTTTGCCCTGGCTTCACATTCATTGATAGGGGATCTGCTATCTCCACTTCTGGGGAAGAGTTAAAGGTGGATGGATCACCTTTTGTTTTTTGGCTGCAAAGGAACAGAGGAGAAAAGCCATTTTAGGTAGGAGGAATGTGGTAATGCCAGTCCTGGTGCTGAATTAACTCAGGGGAAGAGCATTTCAGATGGGAGGTTTCCTGTCTGACAGGCTGAGGGTGTAGAAGCTGCCTATTACTGACCCCAACACTGCGCACAGTGTCAGCCCAGGTCCACTTCTGTGTGCAGCTCATGCTCCACACCACAGCCTGCTGCTTGGGGCATGGAAGACCTGTTCAGTCACCAGCCAGGCCTGGGAGCCAGCACGGCTTTGCTGTCCAGCAAAATCACCTGATCTCTTGGTGCTTTAGATTTTCCACCTGAAAAAAAGGTAATAGTAGCCATCTTTCTTTGTGCCACTTCAAAAAAAAAAAAAAAAAGAGGAAATGCTATTTAACAATGTAACAATCTAATGTTCTACTGTATAAAAATATAAAATGTCAACTTCTAAATTGACTCCAGAATAGAACACACATGAAGTAAGCTTTGTAGGTCAGCTTTGTTTCAAAAAAAAAAAAAAAATGCTTTCTGTTTATACTTGCCCAAAGTATCATTAAATCTCACCTCTGGGTTTACCTGCTGAAGGTGCATGCTCAGCAAGAGCTCTGCCGTGCTGCAGCACTGTCCTTGCCCAGTCAAAACAACAGCAGGGGAGGAGAGGAGCAGCAGGGAGCTTCAGATTTTTTGCATGCCTTGGCTAGAGAGACAGATATGCCTGTTTTTTCCCTTTGGGTTTCTGCTCCCCTGTTAATTAGGCACCTGCTGCAAGAACTGCATGAACAGAAGAAGGTACAGTCTATACTCGTGTGCCTGGAGCTTTATCACTGCCCCTCATGTCCTTTGATTTGTACATGCCATGGTACCTGCCCTGACACAGCCTTCAGTTCATGGCTGATTTGGGAGTGAGGGAAAATAGAAGTGTTAAGGGGAGGTGAAGGGACTGAATGAAACATTTTTATACAGTTGAGAGGAACTGAGAACTGTCACTGCACACAAAAAAACCTCCCACTGTAAATGCAGGAAGCACAAAGCCAAATGAAAAGATGTAACAGAAGTAGTGGCCGCGTTATTTAGAACTCAGCCTTAACTGCGTGATCTTACACTGGATGTGACAGCATCATGAAACCCTCCTGTTGGATTCACATCCATTACCCCCAGCTGTCACCTGGCTCTGGAGGGGTAAGTGCACGTTACTGCCTCCGCCTGTCTCATCGACCCTGGTCAGAGGTAAAGCTGCCCGAGTCCCACCCACCTGTGTTAACAATGCTGAAGGATCAACTGAGAAGGGGCATTGGTGCTGCTTGGACATTACTGAGCACACCTGAGCAGCCAGAGCATGTGGCACTGTGTGACCTGAGGAAGGGTGCTGTCTGGAGGGAGATACACTCAAATGTGAGAAGCACAGAGCTGACAAAGTCAAGTCCAGATAACCAAGGCCTGAATTCGCTCTTTCAGTGGACTGTGTCTGGATGCACCCTGTGCAAAGGCACAAGTAGCAGGTTTGGCCTAAACCCACTTCCATCACAGACAAACTCAAATGCAGAATACCAGAAGCCAACCTGTTCAACAGATATTTTGGAGTGCAGAGATTTACCCCAGCTGAAGCACCCCAAGGAGCCACATGTGTGTTTGAATAATTTGGTTTAAATAAACTAGTAAACAAAATACAACTTCACTTTCCACCCAAAGGCCTATTTCTGTGAGTTAAAATCCCATCCTGCATCTGCTGACATCAGGTGATACATTTAATTCCAGTGACATAAGGAAGAATTTAAAAGAGGTGTCAGCACAGGTTTATGGCCAAGTAAGTGGGAGGGAGATTTCCCTTTGAAAAATGTGAGGGCCCTTACCTTGCTCCAAGCGTACTACCCAAATAGCTGACAAGGCAGGAAACTGAGTTCTCTCTTCAGAAAACACTGCAAAAATATGAAGTGAGGCTTCTGTGATATGACCTGGCCATCTGATATTAACAGAGCAAATACTTCTACAGAAATGAAGTTGGCAAATAGCATGGGTAACAGCAAAACTGTTTTGGGAAATAGGCATGAACAAGAGTATTAAAATTGCAAGTTTTATTATTTTTAATAAAAGAATCAAATCTGTAGCACTTACTGGGGAAAAAAACCCCCACAAACAAACAAAAAACCCCAAATCCAAAACAACCCACAAAACATTCCAAAGTAAGAGCTGACAGTAAAACATTTGGCAATTGTAGATTCACAACCTCATGAAGCAGAGTTACAGTGAAATCTTACCAAGTCACAAAAGGAGCCCCACTACCATACAAGGCTACCCAGACACAAATATCCAAGAGGTTTCAGTTTAACAATCTGGGTACCACTTGTTTTTATGCAAGGGTAGTTCACATACATAGCTACAGGCTGTCTTACATAAAGTATTTCCACAGAAAACTGTTGATAAGAAGAGTCACCACTTCATTTTGAGCACAGCTCAGAATCACAGAATCATCTAGGCTGGAAAAGATCAGAGTCCAACCTGTGACTGAACACGACCTTGTCAACTAGACCATGGCATTAAGTGCCACATCCAGTCTTTTCTTAAACACCTTCAGGGATGGGAACTCTACCATCCCCCTAGGCAGCCCATTCCAATGCCCAATCACTTTTTCTGTGAAGAACTTCTCCCTGATGTCCAGCCTAAACTCCCCTGGCACAGCTTAAGACCATGCCCTCTTGTCCTACTGCTGACTGCCTGGGAGAAGAGACCAACCCCCACCTGGCTACAACCTCCTTTCAGGTGGTTGTAGAGTGATGAGGTCTCCCCTGAGCCTCCTCCTCTCCAGGCTAAATAAAGCTCCCTCAGCCACTCCTCATAGGAATTGTGCTCCAGACTCTTTGCCAGCCTCATTGCCCTCCTTTGGACACTCTCCAGCACCTCAACATCCTTCCTAAACTGAGGGGCCCAGAACTGGACACAGTACTCAAGGTGTGGCCTAACTGGTGCTGAGTACAGGGGCAGAATCGCTCTCCTGGTCCTGCTGGCCACACTATTCCTGATCCAGGCCAGGATGCCATTGGCCCTCTTGGCCACCTGGGCACACTCTGGCTCATGTTCAGCTCATGTTCAGCCTGCTGTCAATCACAATTCATCACCATTCTCTGCCCAGCCGTCCAGCCAGTTCTTAACCCAGCAAAGAGTGCACCTGACAAACTCCATGGCTTTTATACAAGTAGAATCTTTGACCAGTAAGAAATATTATTTTCAGGTTTATCTATTGCAAATACAAGCTGCAAAAATAAAAAAAACAATTTATGATTCAAGTATTTAGACTCTCAAATGCTGTAAGCTGTATTCCCTTTTCTCTGAAGAACTGTGCTAAGAGATAAAGTTCTTACTTGGACAAAATTTGGTCTAATTGTCCTGAACAACCTCTTGCTTCCACACTGCTCCAGGAACAAGAAGAGAAGGAACTATCATCAGAGATGAAACTATGAACTGCCTTCTGAAATGAGAGTGCTGGAAGAGCACAAGCATTCCACTTGGCTTTGGATCATCACACTTCTTCAAATACAAAGCACTGATGTTACTGCATGCACTGGGAAACTGAGCAGTTTTCAGTGGATGCTCAAGGATGTCAGTGCTGTTAGATTATGTGAACACGCTCCATATTTCTATCTGTTGGTGAACATCTACAACAAATACAACTTCAGTAAGTTGCACACGAAATCAGCCATACCAGAGTGCTGCATCCATCATTTAGGGTTGGACTTGATCTCATAGGTCTCTTCCAACCCAGTTAATTCTATGATTTCAATCTTGCTAGACCTATTACACTTGATCTACACACGTAAGCAAAGAATCTATTTAACAGCAAACACCATAACATTTTTGTTTCTCGCTGTAGGATTCATTTTCCTTTTTAAGGATAAAATTGCTAGTAAATTATTTCAAAGTATCTCTTTCCATGATTTTGGCATTATAGGTGACAATAATTTGGTAGTTAATTAAAATTCTCCTATGTCCAAACAGTTATAATATTGTTCTCCTTCTCCATACCACTATTAATACATATCTACTCAATGTCCCTAAATTATTATCAGAATGCCTTAAGACTTTATCCCTTAGGTATGGTTAAGAATCATTACATTTTAGACCACTCTGTTAAGCCAAAAGCTTGGACAGAGCTTCTCTAGAACTCTGTTCCCCTCTGCCTCCCACAAGGAAGGACATAAATTGAGAAGCATAATTAGCCCAGAGTTATCTTATGTCAATCAGCTTCGAGCAACGTCTTCTAATCCATTAACTCCCTTCTGAACCAGGCACACCATAAGAGAACACTAATTCTGCAGGGAAATGTTTGAAGTCTCTTTCAAACTGCTGGCACACTTTCCCTCCCTGGTGCAGTCCTTTTTACCCAGCCCTGACTTTCTGCTAGAAGTTTACATTAAATGATTTGGTTCCCTCTTCTTAGGTTCCACTCTAGAAGATGATCAGCTGCACTGGCTGGCATTACTTACTGCCTACTTCTTCGAGGTGCTTCCTCTTTCAACTGAACCATTCTTCTGTGGGCTATGTAAATACACCTTCGAAACCTCACAGAAAGTGCTGTGCTTGCCAGAGATTCTAGTTTGTCACAAATCAGTTTCTTCAGCCTGAAGGCAGGACAGAGCGAGTGTTCACATGCAAAACATTTTCTACATATTGCAGCAGCAAGGAGGACAAACTGATTATTAATACAGACAGATAAGCAGCAGTCCAACTGTTCTCCCTGTTTTTTGACAGCTTGTATTGAGGAAGACTTAAAAGAGCACAATTCTACCTGAGCTAATGCCAAGCTTGCACAGGGGTAGTGGAAGAAGTTACTTGAGTACACATAAATCACAGTGTAAGACAGTGGTCTCTTTGGAAAAGAGTAGTCTTTGCATTAAACCAAACTTTGCAGGTATCTGAACCAGCCTTTCAGAAAGAAGTTCAGAAAGGTAAGTAACAACTAATTACAGAACAAGTCTCTTTTGCTAATGTGGCACTAATGGCAACCAACTTTCCCCTGAAACCTCAGCTGAAACATTACCAATAAGTAACCTGAAAGCAAGTCAGCTCCTGTTCTCTTCCCACATCCTCCATCATCTTTCACACAAGCTCAAATAGCACACTTCTGAATGGCAACTTCCAAATTAAAGATTTTTCAAAGACCATGTAAATAAACCAAAGGTGCAAGACTAGACTGGGAATGGAAGAATCCCACTGACCAGTGTGATGAGCAGGTATCCCACCTACACGCTTCTCATACAGGGAGACTGAGAAGCCCAGAAATAAATACACAGTGAACCTGGATTTGAGTGCTGGGGTAGTTTAAGGTTCATACTAATTTGGCCAATGGATCCCGCCCGAGGCAATTGGCTTACAAACTGCGCTCGTGAGTTTAGTAAATATTTACGTGCATTGTATGCAACATACTGAACCTGAATAAACTTCACCACCAAGTTTTCAAGTGCAAATGTATATAAACTCCCTTAATTCTGCTCTTAAAAAAAAAATTCCTCCCCCCAAACTTGAGCCTGCCCTGCAAAAATTCTCTGAAAATAGATAATGATTAAATACCAATCTGAAGGTTCACAAGAAATGAACTACTTAATTAAATGAAACATAGCTTCAAACAAGCAACACTGAATCTGTTCCTCCATTAAAGAGGACTAAAAGTCCCTGCATAGAGAAAGCAGTAAATAAATACTAGAAGTACTATTAGTTAAGACATCAGACAAAACCAGATCAGACTCCTGACTTGCTGGTTTTGTCTTCACATAACAACAACTGCATTTGGATGTTCAAAATTCAGCCTGTCTCAGCATAAAACACTGCTTTATACTTGTGATGTAGTATGGATAAAGGAAAGACTTTCAGTTTCAAAACATTTAGATTACTGATTTATAGGAACTGTTAATTGTCATGGGTTTGTTCCAATGATAAACACTTGCTTCAACTTAAGCACAGCTGAAGAGCGCTGCAGATGCATCCAAATGTAGGGTTGTTTCAATAACTTAATAGCACTTTGACGTTTGCCTTGCTGAATTCTTCACTGCTGAAGGAGGATCAGAGTCTTCAGTTCACAGCAAAAAACAAAACAAGGCAGTTATGAAGATCATGTAACGCAGAGTTCTGAAGCCCAAAGCGGAGGTTTGCTGCAATATGGTAGTCTGCTTCTGGTCTCTTCAGCACAAGCAGCTGCTGTAGCAGTTGCTCCCTCCTCTTCTGCATCTTCCTTTACCTCCCTGAAACCCTCTGCTTCTTGGAATGGATGCTCTAAAAGTTTCAGTACATTTCTTACCTAGAGAGAAAACATTGCATGGTTATGAGAATATAGAAAGTGAAGGGAAAATGATGTGGAGAAGAACTTCACACCAAATAATGAGTATAATGTATTTAATACATGAACTCCAGACAAGCCAAATATTAAACAGGTGAGCAATATGCATATCAAGTAAGCTGAAATCAGAAAATCAGTAATTGTAACTGGGTTTGTATCTGTATGGGACTCAAGCTCAAATAACCTGAAATGCAAGTACTTTTCTCAAAATAAATTAATTTCTCCATATTCTACATGTAACATTCCCTGTGCTGAAGCCCACAGGTGAAAGCCATAAGTTTTAAAAGATAACACTTAGCACAGCAAGGAACAAGTATAAATTAATCCTCAACTGCCTCCCAAGATAAATGCCACTCTCAGGAAAGAAAAAACAGGGTTAAGTGTCTTGTCCTGGGGTCAACCTACAAAATCTGGTGAAGAACAGTCAGATTTTTGATTCAGTTATTTGTTCTGCAGTCATTAAAATTACAGCCTCCTCAGAAACAATACAGACCTCCTGAACAGTGAATTCCCAATGCCCTTACTGCCCAAGATGCCAAACCAAATCTTGCCAAGCATAATGTCAGTCATCTACAGCAGCACTACGTATGCATGCAAACCTAGAGAGAGTGTACGTATTAATAGCATACCTCTGAGAAATCCCCATTTTCAGCTGCTTCTATGGCATTTTGGGCAATATAATTTCTCAAGATATATTTTGGATTGTTTGAATTCATGACCTTCACATGATCAGTGTTCCAGGCATCAGCATCACCAACACTTTCTATTTCCTTCTGCAAACGGACTCTGAAATTAAGCAAGTGACAACAACTGGTTTGGATCAAGAATCACATGTGGAAGTTAGTATGTTTCCCTGCTTTGAGATCCTTAGTCTGCAGTTCTTAATATTACATCACCTATAATCCTCTCAGTTTATAAAATACAGCATAACAACAGAATATAAAATGTCACTTCATTCATAAAAGCAGCACTACAGACTGTCAGCAGGTCCTGACAAGGCTCAAGAAGTGGCACACCACAGCTTTTGTGTTCTCTCAAAGTCAGATCAAGACACTGCTGCATGGTCTGTTCTGCATTGCTCCACAAAGACTGCCACATTCAGGTTTTGTCTTTTAAGTATTGCTATGCTTGTTTATTGGTTAAGGTTTTGCTGCTCTGATAAAAGCAAAGGGATGCAATACAGCTGAGGCAGCTTGATCTACTTTTTATCAGTAATACTTACTAAAATTCAGCCCCACTGGAGAACAAATCAGCCAGGTAAAGAAAGGACCTACTCCACACAGTACAAACAACTAATGCTCTATTCAGGGGTTTTCTTTACCAAAAAACCTGCTAACACTTAGGATTTAGAACAGTCTGGACATTTTTTTTCCTGGCCAGGATTTCTTTTACAGTTACTCTTTGATTAAGAATAATTCTACTTGATCTCTATATTAATACATAGATTTTTCTTTTAGAAAAAAAGCTTCAAAGCATAAAATGCTTAGAGGTCAGTCAGTTGTAGTTACTGAGCACGTAGAAGTTCACAACTAAAATTAGTCTCTGTTAGAATCAACATCAACACTCTTCAAGCACTTTTAATACTAGATTTGATGCTAGGTGATTTCTACACCCTCATCCTACCTCAAAATCTAGTAAACAAAATATTACAAAAATGCCCTTGAACTTTCACAGCAACAAAGACACTGATCATGGAAGCAGATAATATTCTGAGCTGCATGTCTGCCCTGTTCCTCCTAATCTATGTTTGAGAGAGGGTGCCTTTCATGAGACAGGCACATCATTCTCAAAATACAGAAATAAAATACAGTGCTATGAATAGTGAGAAACTTTACCTGTATTTCTCCAGCCATTCCTTCCAGTGTCCTTTATTCCTGCTGAGTAAATCAGCGGCTGTTAACTGCTGCAGTTTAGAGAATTGATCAATGCGTTCTAACTCTTTATTTATGTTAGCTTTTGTTCCAATTAATGCAAACAGCTGTGGATTAGACTGAGCCAACATCAGCATCATTGACAGTTGTCTGGGAACAAAAAGAACAAACACATTAGATACTGAAGCTGAGCTGCCTGTCAAGAAGCAACTCTTAGCAATCAAAGCAGATATGAAAACATTCACAACAAACTATGATTTAGAAATAACAGAAATTCATAATTAACAAAACCATTTTAAAAATTATAAATTATGCTAATTTTACTGTTCTTTCCCCCTTCTTCTTCAGTATAATTCATACTTCTGTGGTATATAAGAGCAGACAGTAGATTTTGAGAATTACCAGTTGAGTTTAGTTGTGCAAATCTCATCAAAATACCCTTGGAGCTTTGAAATGAATTTGGAATAAAAAATTTGATCTTACTCAGCTATCAAGATAATACAGAATTCACAGGTTTTGTTGTTTGGGTTTTTTAATTTCTTTAACACTTCCTGATTTTATCAGTAGTAATAAAAACCTAAATGATATGGGGAAAGATACTTCATTTAAATCTCATGAGACAATGTAACATTGTGTTTAATGTTTTCAGTTAGCCAGCCTAAATCACAGAATGAGAATTGCATTTTGGTAATAAATTCCTAACAATATCCAGACTATTTTGTTGCAAGTTTGACTAGGACTGTATTTTTTCACAATTTTACTGTGTTAGCTGGTGCTGTACAATAGTTTCACCTTACTTTTTGATACCATGCTAGCTAACTTTTATTTTTCCTGGATTAATAACTAAACTACAACATAAAGTAAATTAAAAAAAACAGAGTTGCAGCCTATCAAAATACACTAAATATGTTTATCTCCTCTGTGAATGTATTTATAAACAAAGGAGAAAATAAATATTATTCCCTGGCCTCAAAAGACAACTCATTATATAAGGTTATAGTTCCCTACTTTTAGTAAGCAGAGATAAGCTGGGTGCTTTGATTTCTGAGTTTATATAAAGTACTATCCAAATACGATTTATACATCTGACATGTCTACCTCTATGATATCCAACAGCTGCAATTAAAATAATCCGTTATGCACTCACCCATATCATGATGATTTATAGCTGCTTTTCATGTTTCTCTAGACCTGAATGCAGCATTTAAAAACACTGTCTCATCTCTATCACACAAGCTATATTCACACTGTGGTATCAACACACAGAAAAAGCTGAAGAATTTGGTAGGTTTGTTACCTCCATGGAGCACTTATCAAACAAAGTGTGTGGGAGAGGGGAACATACTGGAAAGACCTTTATTTTTTTCCCTCATCTGCAAAAAGTGAAAACCAGATGCAATTACTGTTATAAGCAGCAGCTGAACATGCTCAGAGTAGCTGGACTGCAGAACAAATTGGACATTGACTACACCTAAAGTGGGCATTTAGGTTACACTTAGGCCAGAACATTGGTGGCTGAAAGTGACTTTTTTTGCTGACAGTACATTAGCAGAACACAGTAGCATTACAGTTCACATCCATTTCTTCTGTAGAATACTTTTGTATCACTTCATTATTTGGCACTCTCATTGCCTCAGTCAGCAGAGACGGGGAGGAAAAAAAAGGAGCACCTAAAGCTTGGAAACTTTAATCCAAGAGCCAACTGCTGCAAGTCATAGATGTAGATCATGACCCATCTACTTGACAGTGACATTTCCATTCTTAAAATTAGTCAAATATTACATACCTTGCAGAGTTCACTATGATAATACTGAAACTACAAGCAAAAGCCAAAAGCATTTAAGTAGGATAATACCTTGGATCCATCTGTGGTTTGAAAGCAACTTTCAGTTCTTCCACAGAAGCACACTGACTTGTAAGCTCTTCTAAGAAATCTTCAAATTTTGAAGGATCGGTGTCTACTGAGAATGAACTCAGCAAGTAGAAAATATTTGTGAAGTCTCCACCTGAAAAAGTGTGGTATGAGTAATGCAACTAATAAATCAGCAGGAAAACTGGTCCCTTACCTCCTTCCTACCTCCCCCTACAGCAGTATAGGTCACCACTCTGAAGAGGCAAATAAACTGTTCCCTCAGTGAGGGTGCAAATGAGAGACAAGAGCCTGTATAAGGCAACAACTACTCCACAGTTCAAAATAAGGTAATTATTTTTCAGTCTTTTGTTCTTCTCTCAGATGACAATGTAGCTGCACAAGGCTACTTTCTTGTAAGGTCAAGATATAAATTATATTTTGGGTTGATTATAGGTAAAATAATAAATAATAACCTGTGCTCTTCACCAACCTGTGAGATGCATGGTTTCGAGGAGTTCAGATACTAGCTTACTATCTTCTTCTAATTCCAGCTGGATTAGGCCTAGTTTTTTCCTCATCTTCTGCAAATAATGTTTCTCAAATTCTGCATCATATTCCTCTTCCAGGATGAGTTCACTTATTTCCAAAGGCAGCTCTGGAACTAGAGCTTCAGCAAGTTTCCCCAGGTTCCACTTGCAAACCTCTGGCTGTCTGTTGTAAGCATAGCGCCCTGTATTATCAGAACCATTGCAAATGTGCTCAGGGTCATACCTACAAATGAAGAAATAGTTGGCATTCTTCTAGATAACTGGACATCAGAACTGTGAAAAGCAGTAGTTTTATTACTTTAGTCTGCTCTAGGAACTAAAAAACTTGAAAGGGAACACTCCTTGATTCTTTTCCCAAACCCACGGGCTACAATCTAACAGTTAGAGATGTTGTGAACAGTTAAAAAGAATTTGAAAAGAAGACAACTAGAAATAACTTAACCTACTCTGCCATAAAGAGAATTAATGAAACTACTTTAGAGTTAAAATATTAGAGCAACCATGAATACCAGGCCTGTTCTACACAGCAAGCACATATGCACATTTCAAATAATGGTGCCACACTGACCTGTCCATGAATCCGAAAGGGCCGTAGTCAATGGTCAGTCCCACAATGCTCATGTTATCTGTGTTCAGCACACCATGGCAAAACCCAACACACTGCCATTCAGCCACCAATCTCGCGGTTCGTTTGGTTATCTAAAAACAAATATACTTCTTTCATTTTTCATCACAACATATTTCCAACACATTTACGTATTTCCAAGCATTTCCTAGTCTGAACTGATGTTTCTCCAGCTCTGATGGAAGCAGATTCTGGCAGTATGCCATACACACAGTCATCTTAAGGACAGCTTGCCTCTCTCCTCCTGTTAGTAACTGTCCTTTTACTCTGTCTCCCATTTCCATTTGCCTCCTATTCTCTCCTTCCATGCTTGACTTGCAAGTCAACTGAATAGCTTTAAAATGCACTGGAGACAGACTTCAGTACTAGTCTAGCCATTAAACAAATACACTCTTTTGCCTAGTACTAATTTTAAAGACTAACTTCAGGCAGGAGAACACATAAGCAAAGTCTAAGAAATAAAATTAACTATATGCAACAAAGCCCAGTGTGAAGCTATTCTTCTGGTTTACCTAGTATGTAGGAGTGATTTACATGAAGTTAAATGGTTTACACAAAAAATTATTCCCTGTGAACAGGTTTTAGTGCTGATAAGCACTGCCTTCAATTTGCTGAGAGTGGAAAAATGCTGCAAGATTAAGTAAAAATATTCCAAGAATGACAGTTTTATTTAAATGCAATTCTTTACTGAATGTATGCTTCATCAGAGGTATTTCTGCTGCTTAACTGAGAGTTATTTTTATGGAATCCTTGACCACAATCACTGCATGAGCCCCATCCACCAAATAAATAGTGGAATATTCTAAAGTAGTCCTAATTATTTAAATATATTAATCCACTTATCAATGAGAACTACTATGTGCTATGAAATCTAAAATTCAGGAAGCTAACTTGTTTTTTAAATAAACCTAAGTAGTTCTAAATACTTTACCAAATTGCTGTCAGTAAAAATTTTATGTAACCATTAGCTAAAACTTTTAAATCAAATTATTTTCATAGCTAAAATCACTCATCTTCCCAAATAGCTATCAATGCACAGAAATTCAAAGCAACTATTTGCTCCAGACTGCAGTGTGAGTGAATTTCATTAAGGTTCAAAAACCCGTCTAGGAATTGTTTCTCCTTGAACATTTCTATGCGTCTGTCTTCAAACACAGAATTTTTCTATTTTTCTTTTTTTTAAAAATATGTGCAGTCAGGTAAAGAAGAAAAATTAGACAAATCTTGCTCTGACAGGTAGTGAAAACTACAAATGGCGCTTGGAACATAGGCTTTTGGTTCACCTTGAGATCCCATGCTTCTACTTTTTCCAATATTCTCTTGGGAGGTACTTCACCCATTTTTCCTGAACACTGCCTCGTGAGGCAGTTGGAAGCCAGCAGCCAGCTACATGTGTCCAAAACAGATTACTTAGGCCCTAAACCAGTAGAAGAGGCACACCCTGCACAATGGCTCTGTGCCAGGAAGATGGTAGAAGCTAAAAACAAAAAAATCCTGGCCACCAGGGCTGGGATGAAAGCACTCCAGTGGTAAGGCAGGACGTCCTTGTATGAATGCATCACATACCACCAGTGTTGTGATAAAAAAGAAATCCCCCTAATAAGAATGCCCAAAAGCAATTAAAGCTTGGGTGCCACTCAAAGATGGGTATATTGATGAGAAAAGATACAGTTTTGCACTCACTTTGACCTTTATTCTTTTTGATCAACATTTTTCTACTGCTAGACAAACTAGAAAACAAGTATTTTGTACATATAAATAAGAGCACTATCTGAAGGACATGCTCATTTAAATTTAAACAACAGCTACAAATTATTTGAGAGGTACAGATAATGTTGTTTGTTTTCTAGACAGTGCTGGGAAATGCAGTCACTTGTACTTTTTTTTCCATTTCTTTCACAGTGCAAAAAGAAAGATAAAACATGTTAGAGTTGAGCTGACAGCACTTCCCTGCTATTAAAAAGATGGATGTGTTTGTCAAATTAGAGAAGGGACTGGTATGCTTTTCAGGTGGAGAAAAGTCTGGAAAGTCTCCACTAAGGATGAGAGAAAACACTGCTACCACAGACATGGAATGCAGACAGGCAGAGGCAGAAGCACAACAAATAAACAAAAAAATGGATATGGGGCAATGAGAAAAGAATGCAAGAGCGTGGGGGGACAGGCAGGGAGTGGGATGGCGCCCAGAAGAAAACCAGCAGTAACTGGGCCAGGAAAAGCAGCCAAAAGCAGGAAGAGGCAGGACTGGGCACATGCACATATCCACAAAGATCCGCAAGTCCCATGGCTTTTCTGCCATCAGGAAGTAAACATGCCATCAACTACATGCACAGAGTGGATGACAAGCCACACTGCTCCTCATCAAGTAATCTGTAGTCAACAGTCCTGTTTGTAATTTGGAAAAATGAGACACAGGAAGTGACTCAGCATTCTCACTATCTTATGAAACGATGCTTTTCAAGAGATGTTTCAGTACTATCAACTCATCATCTGACAGTCAAGGCCAGAACTTTCTCTCATAGTCTAAGACAGTCTCAGCAAATGCAGAGAAGTCTTGGGATGCTTCCCCAGAGCAGGGGAAATCACGATCTACTATTCAGAAGGTAAAATTGCTTTCATTGGTTAGATCAGCATCAACACTGCTTTCATCAATAAGCAGGTCTACTTAAGAGTGCTTTCTTCAAATAAAAGAATAGTTCAGATAATGAGATGATACAAAGTATTAACTGACTCCAGTCATCTGTGCTTGCAGATGAAGCTCCTAAAGATGACCACTGTGGATTGTGAAGAGACTCTGATTTTCCTTACCTCTCTGAAGAACGCAGCATTCCTCTGAATATTGTTATCTGAATAAGCCTCCTGGATTTCTGGGTAGAAAGTGCTGATCACATAATCAAGCATCTGTATTCGAATATCATTTCGGTTAACACTGGGACCCTTGCGTCCAGTGTATTCATCAGGAGGTTTAAAAATTTCAAACGAACCAAACCTGTTTCAAAATAATAAAAACATGTTTTAAAATTATCTGATACTATTAACTTCATTTGATATTCAATGTAGTAAAACCATTTACTGTTGTTGTAATAACAGCACGTTATCTCTTGAGTTTAAGCAAATCCTTCAACTGACTGTGAGAAAAGACTTCCAAGATTCCTACACTGAACCCAATGAGGCTCGGTGGCTCTGTGTAAGGAAGCACATACACCCACTGAACCAAACTGACAGATCAAGACCCTAGCCAGTACTGAACAACAGTTCAATACAGTTTCTTACAACCACTTCTGCAGAAGAATTCTTATCCTGAGTAAATGTACAGAAATTGGACTTCAATGCTAGACTGTGTATCAAGCATTTGAGAGGTTTTTCCACATATGTATACACACACAAGAACATATACACATATAAACATACATATGTTCCTCATACCTCACTTTCCTCTAATATTCTGTTGCCTTTCAGGAAGCAATGTAACTTCTGAAATGCCTCATGACTTCTGCTGGAGCAGGAACCTCATACACTTATCAGGCAGGGAAAGCACAACCAAACTTTGACAGTACTACATTAGAATTGGAACTAAGGGTAGAGCTACAATCCACCACTACTATTATCATCAAAAAAGCGCATGTCTTCTGTGCAGGCGTAAACATGAAAAATCTCTTAATAAGTCTGCAGAACTTACTTCTTTCTACCAGGTTAGCATCCCTAGTGTTTTATCTGTCTCTGTGCAAAGACACCAGCTCATCCCATCTGCTGGGCAAGAAAAACAGCTTCCTACAGCCCAGCAAAAGAAGTTCCAAGCCTCCAGAACAAGAAACACACAAACAGTGCTGTTAGGGAAACACACTTAAAACTGTATTTTAAAAAATGCTGTGCTTAGTTTTAAAAGAAAAACAAACAAACAAACCAATCAACAAAATAGGTTTTCACCTTAAAAATGTGGAGGCTATTCTCAGAACAACAGTACACCTTTCATTTTTTGGATTCCCATCATAAAATATGTCACGGACGACTTTTGAGTCAGACGTCACACATGTCCCAGCCCTCGTTGTTGGTATTCCCAGGTGAAACATCGCCTCGCTGCACAGGAACTCCCGTATGCTCGACCGCAGGACCTTCCGACCATCAGCTTGTCTGCAGCAAGAAGACATGGACAGTTTTTAGGCTATAAAGGCAGGAACTCCTGCCTCCTCTGTAGGAGTGGAGAAATAAAAGCCTGAAAGTGTCATGCTCTGTCCACAGTTACACAAAAAAGTAGTGTCATAACTGAAAACAAAAGCTGGACTTTCAAACTTCTGTTAAAGTTCAATTAGATGGACAAAACAGCCTTGCAATGAAGACCACAGACGAAAATAAACCTTCCAGTTACACACATCCCTTCTAATAATTAACTCTGTTGGTTTCATTTCCAAAAAACAAAAAAAATTTGGACAAGTATAGCTATTTTATTGTATATCAAGTGAATGGTTTCCTCTTAATAAAATGAAAAATATTATTTTGGATCTTTCTGGATAAGTAATCTAGAAATGGGGTGTTAAATATGGGCATGCAATAGTATGCATTAAAAAAACCCTACCTGAACAGACAGAAAATAGCAAACTAGTTTATTTAATAGATATTAAGTAAACAGAACAGACACAGGTGGTTTTCAGCCCACACTCCCAGCCCTTTAAAAGTCACAACAAGCAGGCAGATATATGATGCTACTACCAAATCTGGGATTTTTACTGTGATTTCCTTAAGAAGACCTGAAGAAGGCCGACAGAGGACCAAATGCATGAAACTAAGGTGTCACTGAGCCTGTGCACAGCTGGAACAGAAATATGGGAAATGCAAGTAGGAAAACCTACATGAAATATTTAAAGTAGTGCAGACTCATGGACTAATGAAGATACACATCCCTTGCAAACAATTTGGTCAGTATGCCATTTTGGGGGATTTTCCACTATTCCCTTCCACAGTTGGGAAGAACGGGGCGGGGAGAAGGACCAGCAGCACAACCAAACACCCACATTTAAATACCATTTGCGTAGGCCATAGGGCAGCAAGCAGCCAGGTGGGTATTACACAGTGCCGCCCCCACTGTCATCACGGTCTCTGTCCTCCCAAAGGGGGAAAACCCACACAGGATAACCACAGGCTGAAGTAACGTGCCACCTGAAGGAGATGCCATTATACTTATTTTCCAGAGGAAAACTTTGTCACCTCCCGATCTGGCACTTAAGTATTACACTTGCTGCTGCCAAAGACAAAAAAAAAAAAAAATCCACGAGGGCTTAAGGGATGACCTCTGCCTGGGGAACGATCCCCAGCACGGAGCCAGCCCCTCGCTAACGCGATCTGCGGGCCGGCAAGCCGGTCCCGGTCCTTCCTGCACAGCGAGCCTGCCCCGCAGGTGACACCGGGCTCTGCTCCCCCAAACCCGCGCCTGGCCGGGCTGTTCCCACACGGTCCCGCCCCGATCCCCCCGGGCCTTACCGGGAAAAGGGGGTGATGCCGGCGCCCTTGAGCTGGATCTCCCAGCGCTCGCCCCGCGGGCCCAGCACCTCGCCCAGGTACATGGCGGCGCCGTCGCCGAGCTGCCCCGCGAAGCTGCCGAACTGGTGCCCGCAGTAACAGTGCGCCGCGGGCTCCGCGCCCGCCAGCACCCGGTTCCCGCTGAAGTACAGCGCGGCCTCGGCCTCCGCCGCCTCCGGGTCGGTCGCGGGAGGCTCCAGCCCCAGCAGCGCCAGCGCCGGCAGCGACATGGCCACGAGCCGCGGGTTGTGCAGCGGGCTGGGCCGCACCCGCGCGAAGCAGGCGCCGGGCACGGCCCGCGGGCCGCCCTCCTCCGAGGCGTCCACGGGCAGCGAGCGCAGCGCCAGGTTGTCGAAGCGCAGCGCGCCCAGCCAGCCCCCGCCGCGCTCGGAGCCGTCCGGGGGCTGCTCCATGGGCGCTCCCGCGAAGCCGAGCCGGGCCCGGCCCGACGCCGCCAGCAGCAGCCTCGAGGAGAAGCGCCGGGCGCTGCGCAGCGCCGCGGCCATGCAGCCCTGCCGGGCGGGCGGGCCAGGGGCGGCGCCGCGGGGAGCTCCGCCCGGACAGCGGCAAGCAAGGAACGGGGCTGGACGCGGCGGCAGGGTGGGGACGGGCAGCGGGGCGGGGCCATGTATAAACCGTGGCCGTGAGGCACGGCAGCCCAGCCGCGCTGGCTGCATCGCGAGGGGCGAACTTCTAGAGCCGCCCCCCGGTTGTGGCGGGCGCTGCCGGTGCCCTGCCCAGGTGCCCCCACCGGTGCTCTGTGCCCGAGCCCCGGTGCCGCTGAGCCCGAGGTGCCCTCGGTCAGCGCCCGGCCCTTCCTTGTCAGCTGCGCCCGATCCGGCCGGGCAGGGAAAGCCACAAGGGCGCACCCGTGGTTCTCGCCCGAGGCTGTCCCGGCTTGGTGCCTGCCGGGGCTAGCTGGCACTGAGATGTCCTGGCTAACCAGGGGGGGGAAATCGAAGGAGAGGGAGGAGCCAGAGAGCTCCCCGACCCAGGAGGAACGGGGACTGCTGGTGCAAGCCATGCTGGAGCACGGCGGAGACCCGTGGGACTGTAAGGTGGTCGGGCAGGACCCCACGCTAGAAGCGGCGGAGCGGCACTGGCTGAACTACGTGTCCCTGTACCATCCCAAAGGAGAGAAGAAGTGCTCGGCGCTGCAGTGGCTGCTCTTTAACCTGGCGCGGGCCTTACAGGCGGCGGTGGAAGAGAAGGAGCGGAGCATCCAGAGCCTGCAGGACAGTCTGCAGCGGGCCCGCGACGAGGTGCTGGCGCTGCGGTGCGACAGCTCCCGGCGGAGCGAGCAGGACGAGCAGCTGCGGGAGGAGCTGCGGGCCGAGGCGGCCGAGAACGCCCGGCTGAGACGCAAGGTGCAGTGCCTGGGCACCCTGCTGTCCTTGGGGAAGGGTCTGGGTCGAGTGAAGGTGGCGGCTCTCAGTAAGGGAGACTGGGACCCAGAGGTGTGGGGTGGGGACGGCTGGAGTTTGGAGATGCGGGAAGAGTCGTCGGTGCAAGGCATGTGTGCTGGGGCTGCGAGGAAAGTGAAGCCGGTGGAGGGGGATAGAGGCCAGGGAGAGGGAGAAATGTCCAGGAAAGAGGAGGTTTGGAGAAAACAGAAGGAGGGATGGCCCGTGTGGGTGAACCGAATATGGACCTTGGAGCAGTGCACTCCATTCACCCACGAGGCGGCGAAACGAGTGGTGACAGCCATCGGGCTGCCCTGGCCCAAGGTAGGGGCAATTATCAGAGCCCTGCCTGCTAATGAGATATTGGGAGGAGAGATTTTAAGGCTGGTGATCAGAAATCTGGGGGAGTATGAGCCCCTCAAAGACAACATGGAGGGGGCACCCTGGAGGGATGTCCAGGAGGTGTCAGCCTACGTGTGTGGGAATGTCTTACTCCGAGCATTAAAGCAAAGGGAGAAACCAGTGACCCCTGACTTCGATATCTTTGAGGTGCATGTGGAGCAGGGGGATGTGGGGGTGCTGGCCTGCCGTGTTCCTGAGCTGCACAAGGGGTTTTTCATCAGCATGGGGTCTACTTTAATTGGCCGCCCCTTGGGTGAGTGCCTGGCTACCTTGGAGAACATGGGCACCCTGATGGGACCCGAGGGGAAAGGGATGGCAAACAAGGACAGGATTGGGGCAAAGGGAAGGAAATACATTCCTAGACGGACAATTTGGAGATATTTAATAAGCCAGGGGGTGGATGAAGGAGAGCTGGATAGTCAGCCCACAGGAGTTTTACTTGCCAAAATGAAGAAAATCCTTCAGGAAAAGGGGATGAAGCAAGAGGAGATTTGGGAAAAACTGAGGCAGATGAATCTGTCGGCTCCTCCCCCTGTCCCAAAGAAAAAGCTCTACCCACCCTCAGGGGACCCTAAAGATTAGGAGTCCCAACTCCTGGTGTCACTGGGATTAACTTACACGTCACTGACCTGGTGTGCAGCAGGAAGGGGCTATGTGGAGATACTATGTCGGTTGAAGGGGGGTTGGGGGATTTGCTTTCTTAATTGCTATGTGATAAGAGACAGCGTTATTAGATTATCAGGGTCCTCTACTCCTGGCTAAATCAGTCTGGATATTGGGAGTAGAAAGGGGTAAAAGAAAGAGAAAAGAAGAAGAAACTTACTTGTGGGTAGGGTGGGATAAACTGGATGGGTGGATAATTCTGGTAAAAGCAGGTACAAGCATTTTAGAAATGAATCTCCTATCTTAGTTCAAGGTAGATTTGTCCAAGGGAAAATTGTTCTGCTACTGCCTCAGAAAGAGAAGTGATCACAGGAATCCTGAAGTCTGTGAAGTGCTGATCTAAAAGTAAAAGAGTAATAAGTATAGTAAATGAAGAGCATGATGTTGTTCCAGCTAAAGACCTGCCTCTTCCCATCCCAGTACCCATATGGTACAGAAGGGCCATGAGGAGACTCAGGGTGTGCAGTGAAGGCTGAATAGACTTAAAATCCCTATTTTCATAATTTTTGTGGAAGTCCAGGGATGTGGAGTACATGGGTGTTGGAAACCCCTTGCAGGAGTTTGGACTAGATGGTCTTTAAAGCTCCCTTCTAACCCAAACCATTCTGTGAATTGTAAGGCTGTGTTGGGTAATGGCTTTGACTCCTGGGAGTGGGCACCACTTGAACAGCTGCAAATTGATTACGTGTACCCACTGCCAGGAAATCAAAGAGAATGTTTTTGTCTAAGGTTGGTAAGATTGGTCTTCAGGATCAAACATGGCTGTGGAATCAATCACAGGTGTGAACCATGGAGTGCTTCACTGAGAAGAGTTGTCTTCAAGATGCTTATTGTTGTTTTAAGACAGCAGCAGGAATGTTGTTAAAGCACTGCAGATGCTGTTCATTGTGTTCTGCTGGCTTCTAGGTATAAGAGTAATGGTTTGGATAGGAGAGGAGCATCACTGCTGTTAATAATTTTTTATTTCCTTCAGAAAATATGTCAAAGGAATTTTAATGAGATCCAGAGATGATGCGGATGACCTCAGATAGTTAGCTTCTCAGAATAGTTAGTTCTTCCAGAATTAACTGACTTTACCTGTAAGGCAACATAGACTGGACGAAAAGACTGAACAATAGATTGGATCCCAGTGTGGATCAGCCACAGAAGTTGCACACAATACCAATGGTACCTTTGCAACCAGTGAGATGATGGGAGATGCAGTTGTGTCACCTGATATACTCTTAACTGTTGAGGTGGTGCAGTTCTAGTTTTGGCCACTGAGCATGTCTAGAACTAAAATCACACCATCCACAAGTATTCACAAACCCTATAGTATCCATATTAATCCTCTAAGATGGGGAAAGAGATGGAAAATTGATATGTGAAACATATAACTATTCTAGAATACTCTGAAAAGTAACCAGTATGTACATGAGTTTTGCATCTCTTATGATTGCAAAGTCTCCATCCTTGGAGATACTTAAAAGCATCGGGAGACAGTCCTGGGCAACCAGGTCTAGGTGACCCTGCTTTAGCAGTAGGTTAGATCAGATAATCTCAAGAAGTCCCTTCCAACCTCAATCGTTCTGTGATTGTCTATGAAATTGGCAGTATTTTTGAATCATAGACAAGGTAAATGGGTAACAAACTTCAGACTGCTGTTTAATGCAATAGCAGTGTTAACTACCAAATATGGCAACTGCCAAGTTAAAAAAACCCAATCAAACAAAACAACAAACTGCAAGGGATTAAATAATATATCTTTTGTACTCAAACTCAATTTTTAGCTATTAGAACAGCTTTTTCACATGGATCGGCTCTGTTCTTATGGATAGTACAACAAAAAGATCCCATATTACAAGGGAAGTGTCATCAACTGCTGTTGCAAATGGACAACTAAATGAACCATATGTGCTCATTCTGTACAGTCAGTTGTGGACTGCTTGAGGATGTTGCTGCTCATCAGTGGAGCATGTTAGCAGAGCGTGGTGTTTGGTAACAGTGCAGGCTGTGCATGTGTTGCCTCACCTGTAATGGAAGAGTGGGAGGCTCACATGGACCTGTGGTTCCACCAGGAGAAGACCAAAGATACGGTATTACAGCCATTGCTGGTGTACATTGATTTACCTGTTCTCAAAAGCAGGATTTTGTTACAGACTGAGGGACTAATGATGTCTGTCTGGAAGCTGAGAGGCCTAGCTGGGAAGAGATCAACATGACAGCAGACAGAAGAGAGCCGAGAAACCAGAGAGAAGACAAGAAGTTGCAAGCCTGAGACCACCTTGGCGGCGAGTAGGGAACTGTCAGAAATGAGGACTGAAATTGTGAACCGTACATTGCTGGCATGACATATCCACGGGTTGATTTCCAAAAGTACTTCTCTGCAGCTCTTAATGCACTTAATCCTGTACTTGTTATTAGTTATGATAGAAGTTACATCGTTCTTTATTTTTATATACTTTGTTTCAGAAGGAAAGAGTGTGAGTAGGTGCCCAGCTGAACATCTTGCCTGTGTTGCTAACAGCTGTGGTGGGTTCAGCCAGAAGGGATTGAGCTTTCTGAGCACCCAGAGTGGTTTGAATGTCCTTGGAAGAGGGCAGGCAGACCAGGGGGTGGCTCATGAGCAGGAGGTCCTGCTGGAGCACACAGCCCCACAGAGCTGAGGCCCCAGCAGCGCTGGCAAAAGGGAGACAAACAAGTGCCTCTGCTGCTGTTCTCCAGTATGTAAACTGCCAGATAAGATCCTGCTAGTGCTTGGTCAGCTTGCACAGGGATCAAGGCTAATGTGGGACAGACTAGTAACAGCAGGAGATAAAATAAACCCAAGGGGAGAACCAGGAATCTTGGGAAGCCAGACTGCCTGCATCGGGTATCCCTGCCAGTAACACCATATAAGGTTGGAACTGCCTGGGTCATGCCACCACAAAAATTCCATAGTTAGGTATGGCTGTAGCAAAACCAGGACCAATGGGGAGGAAGTAACTGGGGGCAGTTTGTTTATTTGGGAAGGATTAGGGTGGAGGAGAGGAGGTGGCAAAGGTGGGCCCTGATGCTGAAGGAGAAAGGATGAAGTGTGAAGTCCAGGAAAGAAGACCAGAGGGCTCCAGCTGATGGTAGAAGTGTGAACGCCTATGACCCATAACAACAATGACCTGCAGATTCCAGGCCTGGGAGGCTGGAAAGCATCACTTAGGATAACCCACTGGATTCACTTCATCAGGTCTGTGACCATCTGTTGTGGCATGGGGGAATGAACCTGCACCTTGGGACTTAAAAAGCCTGCTATCTATATAAATTATATATATAAATATATATATATAAAATATATAAATTACATATATATAAAAGGCTGTGTGTGAGAAGCATTAGATCTGAGATTGAGTTTGTAATTTCATAGCTGTGCCTTACAGTTTTCATAAATATGTAACTTGATCAGTGTATGGTATTTAGGTTGTTTTTCTGTTTGGCTGTTTTCGTTCTGGTGTGTTCAGCGGTCTGAGGAGGAGACCCGCACCTCAGCAGTCACAGAGCTATGGTCCATGAAGCCCAGCTGTCATGGGAGTGCTGCTTGCCACGAGTCTAACAGGCCTGAGCATCCCAGAGAACACTTAATCCTGTACTAGCAGGCCCAGGACAAGGTCTGACTTGCCCAGGGACACCATTATTGGCCTGCCTGTGCACAGTCAGAGAGGCAGAAATCTGTGTATGTAGTGGCCAGGCAGAAATTGCTGATAACCATGATAAATCATCAAGGCTGTTACTTGGGTTCCCCAAGTCCTTCTGCTTTGCCCAACATTGAAGAGCCAGCTCCAGCAGCTTGCCAAGGTGGTCATGGTAGGTGTGGTTTTGGGTAAGATGCTCACAGTCTCCAGTTGCCTTGGAAGAGGAGCAGTCACTCAGTGCAACAAACAAAAATATGTTAACGTTTTTGGAAGAGAGAGAATAATGATCTTCTGAGGTGTTGGGTCTTACATGATAGGCAAATTAAGTCTATCCTTGAAATGGGATAAATTAAACAATTCACACCAGTTTTAGGTAATTTTAAACCCATGATTCTTAAAAGAGTAAGAGTGTAATTCTTTCTTTTCTATGAAGTACCCTAGAACCAATATAATTGTGGGAGATACTTTTTTTTTTGAGGGAAGGTTAAAATAGTATTGCTGATTTATCAAGAATCTGCCTGTCAAGCATCAATACAATCACAAGAAGAAAAAAGATAAATGAATTCATACCACAAGTCATACTTATTCAGGCTGTTCCTGTTTTGTGTCATTTCAGTTAATAGCAGGTACCACATGGGTGAGTCAAGACTAAACCTCTCCAAGGTGTGCACACTTACCTTCTTCTCTAGAATAGCCTTTGAATCCATTAGCTGCCTCCACTTGAAACTGGACATACTGGGTAAACCATATGCAGTCAGTAGGTGGCACCAAATTATTACTATTACTTGTGCCTTCCAGCTAAATGCAACAGTTTGTCTCAGCTCTGAAGAACTCGGGCTGTAATCATGAGGTGAGACCACGGGTATGGCAGCAGGGAGGTGGAGAGAAGATGCTCAGTGGCAGGTGGTGAACACCCAGAACTTTTCTGCACTCATGCAAAGGTGAAGCCCTTAGCAGTCTTGCCCACACACAACTCCAGGGATGGAACAAACAATCCTACTGGCCCTGGAGAAGGCAGATGTGTAGTTTAGTCAGTGCAGAGACACATCAAATTAATAACCACCACACTGTAATCAAGTACTACTCTTCATTACTCAGTTCAGTTTCTGAATCATCTCTGTAGCCTAAAGCAGAGACATCTTACCACTGAAAGAACGTCACTTAGCTGGGAGGAGACACAACTATTGCAACCAGAAGAAGTGTACAAGAGGTGATGTTTTTTGTTTGTTTGGGGTTTTTTTTAAAGTCTGATCCTTCCCACTTTCCCTCTTGCATCAGTCATGATACATCAGTACCAAATATCTTGGATAAGGTGAGTGTGGAAGTGACTGTTTGCATCTTCCCCCACCAAACTAACACTACTAAAGCTTCCCTGTGTAGTACTACACAAACCGACAACGCATCCAGCAAAAGTGTTTCCTCACTTTGCAGCACAGCCACCCCCAGCAGGGAGATACTGAGGAGGAGTCAGTGCCAGGCCAAGTCTCAGGACCCAAAGGACAAGGTCTTGTGATGGAACAGTCCACAAATGCCCCCACCTCCCCCCTTTTCCCTACAGGGAGTGAGGGTAAGGGTAGCCCCACCTTTGCTGCTGCTGCCTCATCAGAAAGCAAGCTTCCTTCTGCAGCAGGCAGAAGGCAAGTGACAAGGGAGGGGATAGTGAGCATCCCCCTGCCAGCTTCTTTGGCTGGGACCTGCTGAACAGGACAGCTGCTTCTGCTAGTCCTGGTCTCTCCTCATGTACAAACTGACACAAGACCTGCTGCTGTGGGGACAGGCGCAGCTGGTGCCTTTTTTCACCTGAACAGGCAGTAGACCCATTTCAGCTTTGTATCTTTGGAGTTACTTTTGTCCTGTGCTTGATGTCTGCCATCTGCATTTCTACGGCCAACTGCAAGGGCTCAGCACCACACTGAAGTCTGTTCATCAGTCAGACCCTTCTCCTGCAAATACTTAAAAGCCCACATATCTTACAATAATGTCAGTCTCAAAACACTCAAGTCTAAAATTAAAGTTTATTTCAGTTTTAAAAAGAAACAGGGAAATATGTACATAAGTATATTAAGAGTTACACAAGTGATAATGTGCTGTTTCTTTTCCATGTGTAGTTCCTACTGCCTGGCACTTGGAGATAACTTGATATATTTCTCAGTGCCTTTCAGATATTTGACAATACACATGAAAATACAGCTTCCAGTGGAAAGCCCAGAAATTTTAATCCACCTCAGAAAGTAAACTTTTAAATTTTGTTCAGTATTTGGTATAGAAAAGACACCTCAAACATGACCTGGGCCAGCAGTGTGCCTGTAAGGCTGCTGAGCGATACTCTGAAAGCAGGCAGCTGCCTTCCAGCTGCATGGAGGTGGCAAACAGGCTGCCTGACCCAGCACTGCTCAAGAGCGGAGGTGCTGTGCAGCCTGTTGTCTGCCAGTCCCAGGGACAGCCTTTGACTGCTGGATTTAAAGTTGTTCCTTCCACCTGAATGGCTTACCCAGCACTTCTTTGCAGACGCAGCTCCCAGTGCAACCAAAGGGAACTTTGCCTGATCAAGGAAAACGGGGCTGCACTTTGCTTTATGTACAAACAATCAAAGAAGTATGGACCACTGATTGACAGCGGGTACAAACAGGGGGCTATTCAGATGTACACTGTCTGTATGGAATACAGCTTATATACTTTCAGTATGAATACAAGGCCTTTGTATTATTACATTTTTTTTTAGAAATGGTCATATTGATTTACCTGGCTCAATTTGAAAGATTAAACTCTTTGCCACTCATTCAACATCTTTTGCACTTAAAGGGTCTTTAATTCCCACGTGGAGAACAGCACTTTAAGCACAAGTGACTGTGCCTGATTTTAGGCCAATGTTGGAGCTCTTTAATGGTCTGGGACTAAGGCCAATATCTCCTTGCATGACTGAGCACTGGAGACATTAAAAGAAAAGCAACAACAACAAAATCAACTCACCATAATTAATTCTGGGCTCTGAATTTAAGTACTCACATTGAGCAGTCAAGTCTCCCTGCGTGTTCAGTAGGGCAGGGAAACTATCCTTTCCTCTCTTAAGCCATTACATGTGGTAGGCAAGAAACTAGTTCCCCTACTTCAGCATTATGATCAGATGCCCCTCAGCAGGAGTTAATTAATTCAACTAATGTTCTTCAGAAAAATAGTGTTAGATAGTGAAATTATCCCGTACTAGCTCTAGCTAATCAGTGTTTGCTCTCAATAAAATACTGGTTAGTAAGTAAAACAAATGCCTTCAACAGAAACGGTGGTTAAAATATTTTATTTTTTATATAATAGAACATACTGCTGTTTACTTTAAATCACTTTAGAGTAAAGGCACACATTGTTAAAAATACTTCAAATTTACATCACATGTACAAATGCATAAAACAGATGTACATGTCACCAAAAAAAATACAATATGGCTTCATAAGGTTGAGGTGGGGCTGGGACAATTCAACATATATTTAAATTTTACAGGATGCTGTCAACACTGAAAGGACTGACTAGAACAGAAGAGAATGGACCTAAAACACTGATTATGTTATATAAAAGTACAACACACTGAATATACAACATCGAGAATTTGTGTATGGATTCATAGAATTGTTAGTTCTGCAAATTCATCACTTTCCAGTGCCACTGAGTAAACAGTGCATGCATATGATCTGCCAATTTGCAACAGTGGGAAGATAAACTGCAAATTCTCCATCCACAAACAGGTTCCTTGAAGAATCTGCTGATATGCTTTGTAAAGAAAAAATCTGAAACAACAGACTAAAAGGTAATGACTGGAAAGAATAACAGAATAACAGATAACTTAGATGGTAATCACTTTTGGCTAAAAAGCATAAAACATTAAGTCTGCAAGAATGCTCCATGACAATCATTTAGCATTAGTCCCACCCAAGTTTAAGGCTCCTATCTAAAATTTACCTTAGATTTGTTTTCCTTCGTGTAAAAGTACCTGAGCACAGATATCAAAGATCTACAGAAGTTTTAAAATATCTGCAGATACTTTAAAAATCTGTAGATAACTTAAAGCAAAAACATCAATATATTGAATTCTACCAGCTAAATATTCTTAAAAAAAAACAACCAACAGAACAACATTTTGGTAAGTCAGTAAAGCCAGGAGAAGAGTGAGCTTAAGCTTTTGCTTTCTTCTTTTAAAAATGTACATAAAATGTAGTATAATTATTCAAATAGGACTGCTTAATTGTAAACAATACATTAAATGTTTTTTAAAAACAGGAATCAAAATTCAGGCAGTCACCCTACTCTTCTATAAATGGTTTATAAATCCTGCTTTTCCTCTTGCAAAAAATGGCTGGTGGTTTCTTAAGCACTGATAGATAGATAGAAAATAAAAGGACCTGCCCCCACTGTATTCTGTATTATCTTTTACACTTTGTGTCCAAGAAGCATGAATTGCTGTCATTCTCATTTGCAAAGGTTTATTCCCTGCAAAACTGTAAGGCCCAGAAAAGCACCTAGCATCATCTTAAGAGCTCTGCAGGACTGGGTTAGATTCAGTAAGTTTAAAGATAAACATGCACTTCAATAATTTGCTGCACTGGAACTCATAAAATTTTCAAAGTGTCAAGGCAGAAAAGCATCAGGTTGCATGGACACACCAGCTCCCAGCAAAGTCAATGCCACAACAGAGAGGAGCATCAGACCCTTAACTTAATTTTAAAAGCTTAAAAAAAGACAACACTGCACGGAAGATACAGGTACATACTTTCAGCAAACAAAAGACTGTACAGGACCATTTCCAGCACAAGGCTTTGGAAATACATCCCACTAAAGTGGCTTGTTGATTTTACTGAGCCAACTGAAAACAACAAAGGAACAGAAAACACATCACCTTTTCCTCCTCCTGCCTCACACACTGGTTCCCATCTTTCATTCCCAAAAGAAAATACAGATAAAAACCTCACTTTACGCAACTGTTTAAGAGCCTGAGAAACAAATGGGACTTCCATTCAAATACATCAGGTTAAAACTTTGATATGACAATGTTATCTGTATTGTTGAACTGGGACTAGCTGATTGCAGAGGGCACTTTACAATCACTGACAATCCTGTATAAAGGGAGGGTACAAAAAAATTCCTGTGAAATATGAAATTAGAATTAAAAAAAAAAAAGGAAGAAATAGATTGATGATGGACGACTGTTCTGGATAATTACAAAAGAAAATAACAGCAGTCTGTAGTACCCATAATTCTATGTATAAATAGCAGGTAATACAAATCAAATGCTACAGCTAGTTTGAAAAACTAAATTGAACATTGCTTTCCTATTAAATAGATTAAAATATTCATCCACTGGGAAATTACATTGATAAATAAAATATTTTCATGTATCAAAAATGAGGGGCAGGTACTATCAATTCCAGATTTCTTATCCCAAATATGAAAGGTCAGAGAAACAGACAAAAGTAAATTGTACAGTAGTTCTAGCCTCTTAAATTTACAATACTGAATCCAGCAGGATTTGGCTAAATAATACAGTTTAAATAAGCTAATCTAAAGGAACAGAGTGTCCTGTAAACATCTGACACAAACCACATTGTGTTCTGATGGGGTGGCTATTCCTTCTCTATGCAGGAGAAAGACAATTCAACTGGTGATGGTAACAAGGGATGCAATCTAAAGGCAACGTTCCTGTTCTTCAGTAAGGCTTGTAAATTTTGAGCAGTGTACGTATGACAGCCTGTACAACTCTGAAATTCCTGGAAAGCTCTTGAATTAAAAAAAAAAAGCCTAAATGTTTTACGTATAAAACACACATTGAGAAGATGTCCTTCTAAATTATGTGTAAAAGTGTCTGGCACCAGAAACAACCGCTTGGTATTATTATACCAAAGAAAAAAGCAAAGAATCACTCAAGACAAGTGTCCCTGAACTTCGGCAGAGATGCAGCCGATTAGGTTACTTGGTGTTGTTCTGTTCCTCTGGAAAAGAAGTAATGAACACACACTCTTTAAGCTGCCTGTACTACATCATCAGTAATATATATATTATACATACAGTATGCATATATAATATATATATCTGCATACACATTTCTTTTACCTCAATCTGGAATCATCTGGTTTCATGCAACACACTTACCAGGAATCAAAACTATTAATTAGGTCATAGCTGGTGTAACTTTAGTATCAAATCTTTTACTATATAGTGATTGACATTGCTCAGCATCAATCAGCTCTGACTAGAATAGAATCCTCATCTTCTTTAAGGACAGTTCACGAGTTGCCTCTATCACCCACCCTTTTTTCAGCCCCCTTCTTCACACAGTGCCTCCACTGGATATTCAATGCTGAGGCACCTCTGTCAGCCTCTGAAGGTAGCTCTGTGCTGCTGGCATCGAGAGAACAAACTGAACTGTCCTGTGACCTATTCGGTAGCAGCCATATCCCAGCAGTCCAAAAACTGTTGCTTTTAAAACAAATTTGAAAATCTTACTTGAAGTTGATGGAGGAGGCACACTGAAACGAAACATAAAAACCAGTATTAATATCTGCATAGCTGGAAAGAGTCAGCATTTTCCAATCAAAACAAGGATCTTTTCTTTCCCCTTCCCCCTTACAGTGCAGGAAATTTTCAGGTAACAGATGCATCATGAATGAACAATGCATTCTTTCATGTTCAAGGGCTGCCTACAAATTAAATAACAACAATAATAAAGCCTTTTCTACTTATGTATGATGCCACTCTTAATGGCTAGGGTCTCTCTAAATCTTATTTTAGACACGTAAACACATCATCTAGGTGGGTCACAGTTTTTTCTGATTTTCTTAGACCGAAGAGATGGTTGAGGTGGTTACATAAACACAGTAAATGGATGTAATAAGAAAAAGTGTCAATATTTGAAAGGCTCTATTATCATAAAGCACCACAGACCAATACTACCAGGTCATATTATAATCCCTTCTGTATTTCTGAAGTCCTGACCTTTGTGACTTTATAGGATATGCAGGCTGAACATTTTTGTTCTTCAATTCTGTCTTTTAAAAAGCACATAGATCTATTTTAATAGGTATCTGGAGCATGGCTTAAATCAGCCCATATTTAGGTATACACATAAAAACAAGTCATTGCTTACATATACAGTTAAAAATAGACTACAAGCAACTGTGACACTAAGCTTGCCAGAGCCAGCAAGCAAAAGCTTTAAATCCAATAGTTCATATTTACCTAAGGTAGACTGGAAGCCTGGTTTTGTTTTCACCACCTTCTATAGCTCCAATTTGAATTCTCATTTTAAAAGACTTTAATGAGGACCAATTAATTTTCTTTCTACATAAGGACATTCTCATCTCTACTTCCCTCCATATTCAACTATTTACTTTTTTTCCTTTGATATTTTTCTTTCCTTTGCTGTAAGCACAATCTGCAAGCATTGCATAGCAAGTCAGTGAGCTGACAGGGTAGGGATGACAGCAGTGATGTTTCTTCAAGCCGTGACAACCAACCAAAAAACCTCCAAAGGAACTAATTACTGCTGGTTTTTAGCAAGAGAAGCAGTTACATCAACATGTAGGAAAGGATGACTTACCTCATTATTTCCTGGATCTTTAAGTCAGAATTCCAGTTCTTCTCAATTCCAGGTACGTGACCCATGCCAACAACACCAACTACAACAGCTGGGATATACCTTCTAGGCTCATCTGAGAAACAGAGGTGGAGAGAAGGGAACACACTCATAAAGGAACTAATTTCAAGCTAGAAATAAATAGCAACGTGTGAGAATACAAAATTCATTTTTCCAGCACACGGGGACTCTTATGACCAGATATTGAAACCCTGTTACGTACTCAGCTCATCTACTGCCTCTTTCACTCGAAGTCTGAAAAAATCAGCACAGTTTTTGGATTTTCAGGAATCACTTATTTTGTAAACAGACATGGTTGGTGCTCATACTCCAGCCTCAGAGCTGAAAGGCTCAGCAGATGAAAGGTAAATTAATTTCTTTCTTTCTCTGGGTAGGTTGTTTCTTTACTGCTTATCAGGAACAGTGCTGGTCTTTGCTGTCTACTGAACAGAGAGCTTTCTCCACCACTTTGGACAGTGGCAGCTGGCACATACCAAAACTGTGACAACACCTGGGCTAACAATCAGAGAACAATGCTTGAGTCTGTGAAGTTTACTGTTACAGACCTGGCCTCAGCAACTGCAAAACCCAGACCATTGACATGCAGCAGTTGACCAGTCAGCCTTAGCCCGCTGCAGCACTTGCCCGCTCTCATCCTCACCTCCCAGCTACCACCCAAATTTCACAACACCCAGTGGAGATCAAAGTATTGCTCCTGCTCTACGTGGTATCAGCCGAAGATATTAACAACCCTTCTTAATTTTTTAAGCCCTGTATCTTATGTGACATGTGCCATTCATGAATAGAACATCCCAGATTTCCTGAGAACTGAACTTTGGACCAATACACAGAGAACACCTTGCTGGTTATGATATCTGCTTTAAAACAATTACTTTCTGAAGCTCGAGGTAGTTCTATCTGCTTTGCTGCTTGCTTCAGCATGTATGTCAAGTAAATATCTCGTTCCGAGACAATCGTTCGATGAAGATCAGGGAATTCTCCAATCATTTCTGCCATCATCTGCTCCAGTAAATCCTTCTGTTTGCATTTCTCCACATCATCTTTACTGAAAGAAAGGTAAGTTTTCTCAGTATCTGTTATGCTTTTGGAGGCCAACACAGACAAACCAATGAATAAAAACAATTGGGCATTATACACATTATTCACCTAAACACACGTTCTACAGTTCTCCTCTCCCAGTTACCCTTTCAAAAAGGGAAACAATTTCTATAAACCTGTAAAACTGGACACCTAACAATGCCTCTACAGTGAGGCAAAGGGAAAGAAGAAAAGTCACTTGCCTTTAGCCAGTTCAACTGGATTTATCCCCTTCTCACTTTAAAAGCTGACAACTCAACTCAGCAAAACCACTAGGGCTTCAAAGGCAACACTTATCGTGGTGCCCACTTTCAGTCTGTATTAAAAGCTTAGAAGAGCCAACACAGAGCACTCCTGAGAAGCAGATCACTGAACACACAGAGGCTCTACTTAAGGAACAAAAAAAGCACGCCATAAGGCACAGTCCGAGGACACGGAAAGAGATCTGCAGATTCTTGGTGTCAATCACAGGTCTTCAGCAGGGAAGTCAAAGTTTTAAGTCAGTTCCCAGAACAGAATAGAAAATGGGCAGGAAATGAAAAATAAGAACTGCACGAGTAAATGTAATGAGCTTTTCTAATTTTTGTAGGTGCTGTAAACCCTTCTGTTTGCACCCACAGCTGTGGTACAGCCATAGCTTGCAGCAACAGAATTATCTGGTTTTGCATGTCTACTGCAGAATTACGTCAAACACGCTTCCTTTAGTTTCCAAGATGAAAAGGACACTACAAACGTTAACAGGGGAACTGAAATCAGAAATGCACTGCTAGCTTCCAACAGATCACAGAAACATTATGTTGAATTATTACTCCATTTTCCATAGAATCTCATGTGGATGGTTGGGTGCACAGTATTCCTTACCCCCTGCACCCTCCCCAACGATTTCCCAATTATAAATACATTTCCTTTTCAACCTCTATCCACATGTTATGTTTAAAAATCAATTGTATGACAACAACCGAGATGTTACAGCCAGGCTTCAGGGGGAAGCTGGCATTTTTATACCACAATTATCTTAATATTGCAGTTGAAAACCAAAAAGTTCTTAGGATGGACAAAGACTAGGACAAAATGCACAGGAATGTATCCTCTGATGTCCCCCAAAAGCTTGGAAACAGTCTCATGCTGGTATTAGACAAGCAGCAGTAAGAAAGTGAATGGTAGTAAGAAAAGATACTATGTGCATGAACTGTAGTTGATGGCTTGAAAGAGGGTCAAACTCATTTTACAGATTAATGTAACAGCAAGTATTTACAGGAAATGACAATTAAGTAAATGCTAAAACTGCAAACACATTTGATTGACACAAAAACAGTTTGAACCCTGGCCCAACTTTAAAAGCCTGTAAAAAATGCCACATATCACTGCAGAGCTCCAGTCACAAGGTATGAGAGAGGCACTGAGATTCAGGGACCAAGAATTTTAAGAAGTTTTTTGTAAATAAACTAGGAACTCTCCAGCACCAAATCTTTCACTTCACCTGGAAGTAATGCATCAAAAGACAATTAAAGAAAGAGCTGGAACAAGATCTAGAAGGAAGCTTTCTTTTCAAAAATACCAATTATTGCAGAGTAGTTTGACTATTTATCCTTCTTGCTAACTTCAAATTTTATTGCATCAGGCTGTGTACCCTTATACTAAAGTCAAACTGAGGAACTGAACAATTCACCCTGACAAACATATGGGATGCTTGTTCATACCTGATTGGGTCAGACAAGAAGCAAAGGCCCCAGCCAAGCTTGACTTTTTGCCAGAAGGAAAGCGCAGCAATTGCTCTCTTAAATGTAACAGGGATAGGTCGGTCACCAAGATGGAATTTACAGAAGGGTACTTTACTGGCCTGAAAGAGAAAATACAAATCACTAGTCAACATTTCATACTGCAGCACAAGACATCCTTATTAATGGAATGTTAACATTTTATTGTGTCATCCAAGGTACCTTGAAAAAGAGCAAGTAGTGTCATACTTCAACATAAAAATATTTTGGCTTCACAGTAAATAAAATTTACAAAATGCTACTTCATAAAGGAATAAGTCAGCTACACAGGGCAGTAGGTATTACAGTTAAAACATTAAGTTGTAACGCCACACTTTTTAGGTTAATTTTACTGAAGCAGAAAGCTTCTGCTTACTACTACATAAGGTGAGCATTTGGGTCTGAATAAAACTGAGGTGAAACAACTGTGATCGTTTTACTTTTACCTAGGATTTGTCAGGATCATTAATTTTTCAGTTTATCGTGGTAAAATATATTCAAGTAGGAGGTTAAGAAACAAGAACTGATACCAGATACCACGAGATAACATGAGGTGAGACTTGGCTGTAGCTCATACTGCCAAATTTTAGCATAGCACAGACTTTCTAGAGAACTCTTTCCTATGCACAGTTGTTTAAAAATTTCAAGCAATCACTTTAGAATAGGACAGAGCTACTTTTTTTTTTCTTTCCCACTTAAAATGTTTCATTCTGGTCTGGAATGTTCAAGAAAATACGCTTTGAAAAAGTTTTCTTTTTATTAAGGATAAATACACTAGATTATTCCAGATTCTTTATCAGCAATGTTATCTCAGGTTTCCTTATTAATACATAATTTCCATAAAACCAGCAAGATGCATTCTGCAAGGTGGACACATACATGGAAAATAGTGTCCCACTGCTCCCAGACAAAAAAAAAAAAAAAAAATTAGTGTAATACACAGCTACTATTTAATTCTATGTATCACAGATGGCAGCAGTACAAGAGGGAACATTAAAAGACCAGATAGGAGTAACAGAGCAGTCAGATATTTCACTTCCCCAATCTTTCTGGATTAATGTGTTAGATCTCATTAATACTTTAGAGCTGGTTTTCACAGCCTGAAATCCCGACATCACCAACCGTGGGACCACAGTCAAGTTTCAGCATTCAAAAGCAATTACTTAAAAGGAACTAAATTGTTAATGAAAACAAGTGCCATCAGAAATACCATCAAGAAAAACCCTTATTGTTTGAAGCCTTTTAGGAGTTGCTTTTTGGAGTATGCACTTAGGCTATAAACTTTTGTACCTTTGAGTACACTTTGAAGCCAAAAATTATTCTTATTTTTCATTGGCTTCAGTAGAGGTATGGCCAGATTGCTCTTTCAAGTTAGTGACAAAATGATTTTATTTAGTTTGACTCTGGGAGCAAAAGGCCAGTAATCTGACCTCAGAAAAGCCATTTCAAGTTCACACCTCTTTGAAAGCCTCCCTGAATTCTCCTCCTGGGGCCATTCCCAGCTGTTCTGTGATGTGAGCAGAAACCTTCAGAAGCAGCATTTGCATCAATCCAGACATGACTCCGTTCTGGCAGAAGAGGAAGAAAAACAAAAAAAAAAAATCAATAAGCTGTGTGGATTTCTAAGAATGCACTATTCACAGCAATGGAAAAAAATAATTATTTTAATGAAGAAGTAGCACTGAAGCTATCTTTGGAGCCAATTCACTGATCAAGACAGTTCATATTTCAGTTTTTATCAGTTTACCTTACTGTGCAGCCAAAGTATTCTCACCTTCAGCAAAAATGTATGGCATTTTTTGCATGTATGGCATTAGAGTTAAGAAAAGAAAGGAGGGCAGCCAAACTTATTTCAGTCTGTATTTACTCTGCCTGCTTGAAGAAAGTATCTGAATAACTTTTTTGGATACAAAAAAATGAGGGGTTTACAAGAGTATATTCCACTGAATGCACAGTGAATACCATGTCATACAGATACTGAAGTGAATATCCAGTGGGCTAATCGCAGACACGTCCACAATCCCGGAAAACACAAGGCTGAGGACTGGTTAGGTTAACAGATGCAAAAGCAGAGAATCTAGCACTGTACAAGAAATTGCAGTGCATGATTTTGTCACATAACACCTTAGAAGAGACCTCACAGTCCTGAGTCTGACTCACTCCCACAAGCAGACTGAAGGTTCCCTATTACTTTTTTGAATAGAGACTTAAAATCAAAAGGCACTGGCCCTTCTCTCACCAAGGGTTTATTTCCTGCTACATCACCAGCTTCACACAACTGAAGATGAGGCTACACAGGACAGCTTGGGATAATGTAACTGCTGGAAGTTATCAGAGAAAGGTCCTGGTCTTCATTCCTTGCTCAAATGACCCACCCTGTGCCAGAACTAATGCTTGTGTGACCTCTCCAAAGGCTTTAGGTAGTTTCTGCAGTTAAATGGACTCGAGTCACTGAGGACCAGAACTGGCAAAAGAGGGGGGCTATTTTCAAGGACAATTGATTATCTGCTTTATCATACTACAAACTAGCAACCACAGCAGAAAGTGAGGTGCTGGGATCCTGGAGGAGCCGAGGAAGAAAGGCAGTGAGAAAAAGTGTTGTCACTATCCCTGAGACTGAGTTAAAAGTGCCTAGGGAACAAGGGTTTTTAGAGAAGATGCCCACCAAAAAAAAAAAAAGTAGGATAATGCAGCCTGAGGTTATTTACTGGCTGATCTCCCCTTCAGGATTGGTGCACCTGAAGTTGCATTTTTACATTGTGACAGAAGATTCATCCTACTGGCTAACAGAGGGATGCATCTATGAAGTGTGTCTGAGTTGTCTGTGCTCTTAACCTGCATGAAACTGCTGTATTTGTTTTAGCATCAAGGAGATAACAGGTGACAAGCAGCCATATGTAGTAGCAACCAGCAATAACTGGCCAGCCAGATACTGTTGGGGGATAAAGAGAAAAATGTACAAAAAATGTTGAGAGCAAAACAGTAAAGGAGGTTATTATCAATACCAGAATTCAGTGTCAGATAAAGGAAAGCTGAACAAAAGAAAATTAAATCCTGAGTGGATGGCAATAATTTTGTAGGTGAGATGCAACAGCCATAAACACAAAGCAATTCACAAGTGTACATAAATTTAACTGCCCAGGCAGAAGGATGCAAAGCTATTAGCACACAGGAAAGAGAGAGCAAAACACCAGTTTTATCAGCCCAATGTTCAGTAGCAGTCAGAAAACAAGAAGAGTAAAAGGGATTATCAGGAAAGGAACATTATGGAAACACGAATGTGCTGCTGTACAATCTTGGGCAGACTCCTGTCTTGAAAGCAAGATACTTCAATTAGAAAATGTGCAGAGAAATACCAAACATATGAAAAGAGATTAAACATTAAATACTCATGAGGCTTGCAAAAGATGACTGAGGAAAATACACTCTGCTGGACACCACGACTAGCATGGAGACAGTGAAAAGGACAGGAAGAGGGAGGAATATCCAGACAAATAGCAACTGCGGGTTTCAAGGCCTTTCCCCACATATCTGCTATTGGCAGCTGCCAGAGGCCTTCTGAAGAACATAAATCTTCCACTGGACTCAGCACAGGAATGCTTATACCATGTATGGGAACACAGTCTATGGAGGGGGCCTTGGAGGTACTCTCTGACCACATAGCAAGCCACAGATCCAGCACCAACTGCAGAAACAAACCATCTGTACTTTCATCTGCAATTCTTTTAAAACCCCTAATTCCCATGGAAGAAGCCATCACAGCCTTGACACACAGAGCCCGCAACTTCTTTTCCTACTGCTGCAAGTGCAATGGAGGTTAGACTTTAAAACACAAGTGAAGGTAGCAAGTGAGCAGCAGTCTGCTCCTGTCCACATGAATGTTCCCACCACCTACCAATTCACATTATATCCATTTTATTTAATAGGACAATACTGTGGGCTACCTACACCTGCAGGTCTATACTACAAAGTGCAAAACAAGAGCTTTTTTCACTAGCCAGAAGCATTCTGAGAACCAACATAACAATATATTCCTCCACAGGTAACTTCAGACAAAAAGAGGAGGTTAAGCTAAGATTCTGCTGTCACTAGTTCACTTTCTCTTCTGCCCCAGAACAAGGTTTCTCAACTCCCCCTCTGCGTCAGGACTAGCAACCTTAAACCACAGGGAGATGATGCAGCTAAAAAACAAGCCCTGTTCAGACTAACACAGGGCCACTGTATGAACACAGAAGGGAGAGTGGAACCAGGAAGTCAAGGGAGAGGATAAGACAAAACCTGTCTTACCAGTTAAGTTCAAGCCAAGTGTTACTGTGCAACTTCAGGTAATCCACATTTGAGCCAAATACCAGTTTGCACGGTGTTGCTTTGCTTAATGGAAAGCAAACAGGTACTTCTCTGCAAACAACTGTAACGGTTTTGAAATTCAAGGAGGGGCTAAAGGAAGTCTGGTTTTAACCAGCAGCAACAGCTTGATAACCAGTGGATGCCAATGACCCATTGCAAGTATGTTTGTTTCATGTTAACATTCTGCTCAGTTTCCATCTTCAATTAAAAGCAATTAAATGCAATTGTGCTGCTTCATATTTATGTAAGTGATTAAAAACAGACAGTTTGTTAAGGTTTTTTTCCTAATTCCCTAACTCAGGATGAAAGTTGCAGCTGTTTCGACTTTCAGTGTTGCTTTTGGTCCTGAATGCACATTTCAATATGAGGAGGCAACTAAAGCACAACTAAGTAACTTACCAACTCTTTTGATTCTTGGTAGAGAAAAACAAAGTCTTTAGCATGAGACAGTTGGACTGTTCTTCCTAGTTTTCCCTATATAACCCACGCTGCTAGTGAATCAAAGGGGAAAGGTTGGGTTTTTTTTTTGATTGAGACTATCAATAGAGAAATACGTTCTTTAAAAGGCCCACTGTCCAAATTTTATTATTTGCATTAACCCTGGTGACAAAGGAAACTAAGACTGAGCTGTAACAACAGGGAGGATCCTTTTATTGTCCTCTGGCTTTGAAGCCAACACAGTCTGTATTCCCTACTGTCTGCACACAAGATCACTTCAAGAGCTGGTAGGAAGAAGTAATTACAAAGCTGCCAGCATGAATTTACATCACAGAGAAAAAAAGTCTGGTATTTTGTTTTCATTGTCCTTTTCCTCTTAACAGAGAAGGACAGGAAAACTGTTTCATTTAGGTTTGACATTAAAAAAAAACCCCAACTTCTGTGTCTGTTTACAAGGTCAGAAGATCCTCAGCTATGGCACTCTGGTGGTTGTGAACATGCATTTTTTGACTACATGCATCAGAACAATCCACCTTACCTAAAATAAACAGATGGATGCAGCAATTCATGCAATATGTGTTTTACAATGTTCTTTCCTTTGATAGGACATAAATAAAGAAAACAGGAAAGATGCATTATTGCCTAACTCTGAGTCAGAAAGCCTGCTCTGAAACACCGTGTGCACACACACACATAACCAGCCCCAAGACACCGCAAGTGCTTCTGCAGATTTTATTCCTATTGGGGGTGCAGTCCTGGAAATTCTCCAGTTACACCAATAAAACAATTCCAATACACAATTACCACACCCCCAAAATAACAATCTATGAATGTCTTCATCCAACCAGACTCCATATCCTGTCATTTTTAAGTCAACTTTGTGCTGTTTCATTGTGCCTAGCTTAAAATTACTTTAAATACAAGCTAACTGGGTGAAAGTGAAAAAACACAGGACAACACTTGTTCTGCACACACATTTCAGACATGTCAACGTCAAGCTGCCAGGGTAGTTACAATTTGAATAGAATTCCACTTTTCAGCCCAGATTTTTCAAAAACCTCCCTCAGGGTCTACTGTCAATTAGAAACTATTCAAAAGACAAGTGGATAGGAATTAAAGAGCAACATACTAGGATGAAGATGGAATGCATCTTAACACACAATACCAAAACTAAATGCTCCTTAAATAGGTGTGATACAGATGCAGATTGCAGGAATAATAATTGCAAAGTTAAACTTGTGTCCTGCAAATGGAGCAGCTGTTAAATACAGGAGGATTCCTGCCAAGGTCAACGACTGCCCAAAGGATCCTGTAAAACAACCTGCCAAACGATACTGTGAAACAAAAGTTCTTGATGCTCTGTCTGGAAAAAAGAAAATACCCAAACCTAACTTTGCCACTGTAACAGTATTCTCACTTTGGACAATATTAGGTTAGCTGGTGGGAACACTGGTTTTGGTTGCAACTTGACAAATTGCTCTTAACATAAACCTTTAATTCTCACTGTAGGAATCATACCTGCTTTATAGCTTGTTGAAGTTTTTCCAAATTTATTTCTTTGGCTTCTTTTAGTAATGTCTTTTCATCCATCTTTAACATAGAAACTCTGTACTGGCATAGTTCCACCACAACTACATCAGGCTGCACTTCTTGTATTGTCTGAAAAAAATGAATTTATTTACACTGCTTTAGAAAGGAATAAACATAAATGCAGCCAATATCAATACTTTAAAGAGAAAAGGGACTGAAAAAGCACATCCCAACAATCATATTCAATTAAAAAAAACAGTGGAATAGTAAATAAGACTTCTCCAAATAGCTATGTATTGAGAAAAATATTAAGGAAGATGACAGCCAACTGCCTTAGTCCTTGGATGCTCTGGGACAGGAAGATGAACAACACATTGTGTTGCAGAGGGGAGCAGGAAAGAAACACTTGATGGTAAACTTTTCACATTCACAAAATTAATTTGACCATACTTTGTGACTATATGGAATCTGAGTTAGAATACACTTTGTAAGAACCATGGTTGATGATTCTGGCACAATATTCCTCTCCCTCTAGCTCTTGAATAATAAAGCCACTCTAAACTGCAGATTTCACATGAGGTACAGTACAAAATTGTTCCTACTTGCATCATTCTTGAGAATGGATCCAAGTTTGGGACAGCATGGTTTTACAGCCAAGTATTACACAGTCAACTTAAGTTTCACTAGTGAGACTTCAACTTGCAACACTGGCACTGTATCTGCATTTCTTTTAAGGACAAATAAAAATATTTGAGATGGGAGAGCAACGTACTGCATCAAAAATTATTACTATAACATGTCTGCATGTCATCCCACAGTGCTGTTAGCCTTTCAACAGCCAACTAGGCAGAGCCTGAAGGTTACAGCACAGAACCAAGTCAGAGAGCTGGACTTTATTCTACTTAATGCTACGTTGACAACATTATAAACGTGCTGCTGAAGGGCTCACGCTTAGCATTTACCTTCACTACATCCTTTTTGCTGCTGTCACTGAAGTGGGCTGTTCCAACCACATATACTTTAGAACCATCCTCAGTGTCAAGCTCAGTCACAGTGCTTGGTAAAGCAGGCTTTTTCTGCCTCTTCTTCAGCTTCATCTCCAGGAGAATTTTAAATGCATCTGCATCAGCTATAAGTGTAAAGAAAAATAGAAAAGAAAAGCCCACATGATATAAAGTGCAGGTAAGTAAAACAGAAAATAAAAATGTCGCCACTAAACAGCAGAGCAGAGCTAAAAGACCATTGATTTACCACTGTAATCTTACATTCAATTCTGAGGCTACATCATTGAGAGTGCCATCACTGGAGAGGCTGCCTCCAAGCATGGGTCTCAGTCCAGGTTTCCTACCCTGTGGACACTGGGACAGGTTGTCCACGCAGTTCAGTAAGGGAAAGAGAGAAGCTGTGTGGCAGGTGAGGTGGATAGAGAAGCAAAGAATACTTAGAAAAGGTATACACTAAATTAAAAAAAAAAAAGAGCATTTTTTAAATTCTATAACAAAATTGTCCCCTTTTGGGATTTTTATCTATATAAAAGATAGCAACACATGTACACTGGTGTGAATATGCTGGCAGTCACCTGCACATATTGGCACATATAGGATACCTACAGTACCAACCTTATCCTTTTCCATGACTAACACATCAGAGATCAGTACACAACTGAAAATTAAACCTCAAGAGGTAGTTAGGTCAGAAAACCAATCATTCTTCCCTAGTTTCAACAACAAACTATTTAAGATCAAAATAGTACCATGTGAGTTTTGCCCATCTATGTCAAGCCTGCCATAAGGAAAATAGGAGGATCTATCAGTTCTGTCACAGTTGTTTGTTAAATGCCAGATAGCCTCATTAACTGAGATAGAGAAGCTTTAACTCTACATCACTGGGAAATAAAGTCACTTTGAATGAGTATGTTTTGAGCTGTAATGCATCTTAGGAAAAAAAGCATCAAGCAGGAAAGCAGAGTTTTGTTTCCAACCAACTCTCTTTCTCTGGCAAGCTGCTGTACAAGTTAGCAGAGGTCTCAAGTGGTCTCCAGAAGCCTGGAATAGGATCACAATCCCAGGGAAAAAAAAAAGGTTAGTGAACAGTCTGCAGGCAGGATGTCAAAGATGCAGATAAATTAGTCTCCTACCATACATTCATTTCATGAATCTGGTTTAACTGTGTGGTTCTGGCCCCAGATCTGTCCCACAAATACTTATCTCATAACGTTTTACGTAAAAAAACAAAAAAACCCAACAAAACCAAAACAAACAAACAAACTCCCACCCAAATAAAAAACCCCACCAAACAAAAAACCCACCAAATTAAAAAAAAACCCACCCAAAACAAAAGCAACCTTTCACCATCCTTCTCAATCAGAATTTTAGCAGCCTACGACTTCATGGTCAATACCGAAAAACCTGGTGTGTTACAATCAGTACTGTCTGAGCTAAGACAATGTTGCTGCCAAAGCAGATGGTGATGCTAAGGAGGAGGTAGGAAAAACATGACTGAAAAAGGAAGAAGAGGTGGAGCTGTTGCGTTTGTAGCACTCTCAGCCACTTACTTAATCATAAAAGCAGCCGTAGTAGATCAAACAAAATCTACCTAAGCAAATCTCCTGCCTCCCACAATGGTGCATTACTAGATGCTATTATTTAAGGACATAATCAAGGAAAACATTCTCAGGAGCAGTTATCGCTTTTATTAAACCAACTTCTGTATCTGGAGAAAAAAGTAACATAAATTAATCTGCTTCTTTAGGTCTGAATACATTTCACATACCTTTAGTCAAGGCTCTGCTTCCATGAAATCTGAGATTCAGCAACTTCAGCATTATAGTAATGTTGCTGTTACTAATTTGCCCTAAGGTGGTTCAGAGCCTATTATTTGCCAGAAAGCACAATCTGAATGTTCCTATTGTTATAAATGAGCACTGTATACATTAATATCACAACAGTATGTCAATATACATACAGCAAATCATAAGAAGCCTTTGTTTTCTCCTCCTGAGAAACAAATGCCTGCCATTATTTGATCCTTACCAATTACAGGGAAGGATTGATACACTTTCTTGGCTTCACAGGACAGTTTTGATTGGAATACTTCTGTTCTTATATCCTGTAGGCTTGGCCTTCATATCAAAACATTTTCAAGCTAGCATGGGCAACGCATTCCATTTGAGACAAGTGAGCAACATTGAATCACTAGATGCCAGACTGCTGAAGCAAACACATACTTATGCATCAGTGGCTTAGTAAGCAATGGTTGAGTTCAAAACAGTATCTGAGTGTTTCTATTAAATCTAAAAATATTTACTTTAAAAGTTTGGGATCAGCAAACTGACAATCCATATGTCATTACTCTTTCTAAATTTGATTTACAAAACTGGGTCTTGAAATGAATCATGAACAGATTAAGTCAGATGTGACTTCATTCACACCTCCCTTTGTGCTAACAGCCACATCCCTATTAGGTAAGGAAAAGTTAAGTATATTAGTTATATATATAAAAGTATATAAAAGTTAAGTGTATTAGTTTAATACACTTCCAGTGTGATACACCCTCCCCAGTCAAACCAGAAACATACAGATATTCTGCGATACACTGGACGTTTCCTTTGGGCCATCTTCTGGTGCATCAGAGGAGGACATTGGATCTGCAGCAGCCTGTATGAAACAAATTCAAAAGGAGGATGGGAATTATAATGAAATGTTTTAATACACCTTTCCCTTTCTGACTTTGCTCAATTTGAACCTACATATAATAATCAAGCAAGTAAGTAATGTAAGCAGTGTCACAGTTCAAAATGTCCATGGTTTTACAACTATTTTTCCCAGCTGCATAAGTGTGAGAAAGAACATATTATAAACTACTTCATGCCTATTTTACAAGATAGTATTTATGCCTGATGTGGAGCTTTAAAATAAATTGGATTCTAGATAAAAAGATCAAATTTATCTCTAACACTGCTATAACATTTTCTGTGTTGGAAACTAAATGCGCACTGATTATTTTAATACCATTTAACTTAACTACCAGTCAGCATTAGTCTGTCAGAAGTCTGAAAGTGAATCAGCACTCACAAGACTAAACACATCCATTCTAGAAGAGGCCAAGTATTTTATTTGTTGGAATAAGTGTAAGGCAATTATAGAAAACGCACACCCAACCTTAAAAAGTTTATGTGCATAATGACTTTATATATATATCAGAAATCAAAGTCAAAAAGAAACACATCATCTGCATAGTTTTGCTCTCTAAAGGATCAGAAGGTAACTGAAAAGATTCCCTAAGACTGACTGTTATGTGTTATCACTAGAAGTCCATAATGCAGGTCTTTGGCTAACAAAAATCTTTTTTATTTTTAATTAACAGGCAAGTTTTAAAACCCATGCATAGAATTCAATCAATCCCAGACATTCAGCTGGTGTCAACCAAGCCAGAGAGCCAGAGTTAGTGCAGAAAAGAGAGTTAGCAATAAGGGAAAGCTAAACCATAAATTATCTTTAGGCACCTACATTAATTCAAAGTTTAAGCAAAATGATTATTGGGAGAATTTGGAATTCCTGAACAGCATCGAGTAAAAAAGTTAGAGACAGGATGCGAATCCATCATAACTCAAGTAGTTTCCAAGTGAAAGGCAGTATTAATGAGTCAGCAAGCAGGCAGCCAAGCTCTCCTGAGGGATGCCAGCTTTTTAGCTAAACAACTGGTTTATTTACTGCGTACTTAACCTGGTAAGATTAAAGCAAGACTGTACAAAGCACATCCAATTCTTAAGAGCTTTCAACAAGAGTAATTATTTTCTTCTTGCGTTCCATTATGCCAAACAGGAATTTTCAGAAAATAAAGCCTGGGTAGTCTTACTGTGGCCCCACTGAAGGCAAGGAAAAATTTATGATACATTTCATGGAACAAACTCAAAAAGTAAAACAGTTTTACAGTGCAAAGTTTACAATACTCACAGCAACAGATCATCCTTTCATTACAAAGCAAAAGTCTGTTCATTGACAACTGCAAACTGTAATTACACTGCAAACTGCAATTACGTTCACAAATCTAATTTAACACCAGCTCAGTTTTTGATCACAACATATGGCTTGACTCTATTGCTTGCATACGTTAACTCTAGTCACAAAAATATTTTGGAAAAATTGATCCATCTGTAACATATGGAACTAATCCTGTCACTTATGCTGGCTAGGATCACAACACTACAGAGAGAAAAGCACTAAGCCACCACATGAGGAGTCTGTTGCTCTTTTTTTAAATTAATTAACAGGACAAAAGAACTGACATTCTTGTATCTCATACAATAAAAATTCCCTGAATTCCCCAGTTATATCAGAAAAAGGTTTTGAGATATATGGATATAAAAGCAGAAGAGAAGGAACAGAAAGGGTAGAAAAAGCACATCACTTTAATGTGGCAAGGAACTTAAGCCATGCACAGGGAGATGATTTGTATCGAATCAATTTCTTTAATTTACTCACAAAATACTTTTTCCTCCTAAATGTTTAATCTCATAGGTTAGGCTATTTTCTGCAATTCCTCACTTGCAAGTGGATTAATACAGAATATCCTATTTAGCTTTTGCAATTGTAGGGAAAAGGATCCTGAAAAGAACTTAAATGTGGCAAAAAAATAGCACTCAGCTCCCCACCCCCGTGTTTTAAAAGGGGTCTCACGCTGGTATTTTCAACCCTACAACTCTGCAGAACTTCCCCAAGGATGAGTGGAAGAACCTGGCTGATTCAGTCTTGACCTTCCCTGCAATTATCCTGAGAAACAAACTTGTCTCCAAGCCCTACCTCAGGCTGTTGCTCCTCTTGCATCCCTGCAGCGGAGGCTTATTTTCACCAACCACACACGAACTGCAAGAAGTAAGAGTAATGAGAGAGAATTAAAAATTAATGGCATCACCCAGAATAGTTGATTAAAAACTGTAATGGGGGGGAGAAAAAAGCAGATGTGTCTCTACAGTTTCCAATAAAGGCTGAAGTAATAAAAGTGGCAAACTGAAGATGCACAAACGTCACTTCTTCAACTCTCCTGCTGTTAAAATAACCACATCAAACAACAAAAACAAACCAACAGCAACTCCCCCCATCAGCAGGGTAGAACTAGCCTGTTTCAGTATGGTTCTTGAGGTGGCTCTAAATTCAGAGCACAGTCCTGTTCTCACACACACTAAGAGTATCTTAATAAACATGGGTGGATTTCATGGGAACTCAGAATTTGCTTTTTTTTACTGTCTTAAAAATGCCTTTTTCCTCCAGATCAGTTCGTAAGTAATTGAAGATACAATATGGTTGTCAAAAGGATTTTTGCAATAGCAAAAGAGTTCTGCCTTGTCCAAATAAACTACACCAAGACAGTTTTTAGGCAAATTTTAGGAATCATCTGTATTTCTAGGACTTCACCACTACATGGAATAGGAAAGCAGTCAAAATCTTAATATTCAGCTAGAGCCACATACATTGTTATTTGATGAGCATTATGTGATCACATATATTTACAAATATAGCAAAGTGAGAACATCAATAAGATCATATCTGTGTGAAAAACCCAGGAAACTGGGTTTTCAAACCCTTAGTGAATGGTTTCCACGTCTTAGTTTAACAATATGAATGATAGAAGGAACCCTAAAAATCCAGAGTTTTTCCTGAAGCTGAAGAGTGCTATGTTTTGACTTAGGTGGTACTCTAAGGCGATTGCACAAGACACTGAATGGGTGACTAGCACTCATTCTGCTTATTTTCACTGCTATCACACTAAAATTGAAGAACTCAAAGAAAGTGCTGCTTCTTTATTACAACATTTTGGGTTATGTCCCTTTGACTTGTTTCACAGTATGTATGAACAGTGTTTTATTTCATTATGTTGGAGAGCAGTCCTGACCAACTTATTCATAAAATATGTTTCCAGTCCTGCTCTAAAGAGTGGAGGGACAAGTTTGGCTCCTGCCCAATGCTCAGGTGACGATGGAGGAAAGCTGCATGGTTGGCTATCTCTATATGACTGTGTATTTGAGCACACAAATGTTATGGGAAGCCTCCCCCTTCCCCAAATGCAAGAGTCTCCTGCAGTCAGTTTAGTGCACTGCATCCTGGTTTCTTGCCTTTACTTTCAAGTCAGCTGTTCTGCTTGCTAGCTTTGCTTAAAATACGTTTCTTTAAAAGAGCATTTGCCTGGGCAGTGTGAAGCACGTGAGTGTAATTTCAACCACTGGCACACCTCCCTCCGTGTGCTTGCAGAGGGATTTCAGCAATTCCTGCCTTTGCACCGTCCACTGCTAGCGGTCAGCCAGCAAACTGGAGATCACAGCTGCAGGCTGGGCAAAAACAAAGCGGAGTGGCCAAGATCCTGGCTTCTGCATGGTCCCCGGAGCAAAATCCCCATGAAACCCAAGAGAGCCCCACACCTCAAGCACACAACAGTTACAGACAGAGCTCCCAAGCTGCGAGGCAAATACCTCATTAAAACAAAAATACACCCTGCAAACAGTCCAAGAGGTTCAGTAAAACAAACTATTCAAAGAAATAAGAGAAGTCTGCATAAGCAACATAAGCACTCCACTGTTTTTGCTACAATGCATAATTTAATTTTAAAACAGGACCATGCCTTGCCATCTTCCAAGGAGTCAGGTCAAGGAAACCTGGATGTCAGAGTAAGCTGAAATGGCAGATGAAGCTGAGCTGTTCTTGTTTCAGTGTTTTCACAATTTACATGTGGTGTGGACAGATTTAAAGAAGCACAGCAGAAGGAAACCCCTGCCAGGAAACCTGCAACCTGAATGGGACACACCAACCCCCAAGCTCCTCACTCCAGACTGTCTGCTGGCTTTGTGAGTTTAAGTGAGCCCAGAGCCTGTTTTTTATCCTACCCTGTCTCTGATAAACTGGTTTAACTACTTGTTGACTTGGGCAGTAAACCAGACTGAAGAGCAAACTCATATTACAAAACAACCTTCTTTCCCCCTCTCCCATTCTACCAAGGCATTTTAAGCTCAGATGACCAATCAGCTGTAGGAACATCTGCAACAGCAAAACTGGAAGGATAGCATGAAGCAGAGATGCTGAAACCAAATGCCCTCTGAGATCATACTTGTCCAACTACAACATCACCCAGGGTATACCAATACTCTGATGCTCAGCTCTGGGCTTGGTTCTCAAGTGGTTTATGTGTAAAATACCACAGCGTTTTTCTGCCAGTGAATCAGCTGGCCCTAAGCACAACCTAAAGTTCTAAGCTTGGTTAAGGCCTGATGGTGTTTGAAAACATGTCTCTTAAATGCAGAGCACTCTTAAAAATAGTAAACTTCAAGTTTTGGTAAAGAATAGACTTCTATACAAAAGCACTGAGTGGTATTTTTCCCCACCAAGTGACATTTTAGAAAACCTCATCCCATTCTCACCACTGACTAAATTATATATCTGACACTGGCGGAGGGAGGCAGGGAGACAAAGCAAGAGATCTTTGAAGTTTACTCATGCTAACTAGCGCCACTTTTCAACTGACCTGTACAACCCTTGGAAAAAGCAAAGCTGTTTGTTTACTGTGGTTCCCAGCTCCAGACTTGCAGAGAACCCAAGGCACAATGTCTTGAAGGCCAGATGAGAGACTGGGCAGCCACAACAACAGGCAAGTCTGCCACTATTTTCTTCTAGGACAAGCTCAAGAAATGGGCCCATAGAAATCTCACGAGGTTTAATAAGACCAAGTCAAAGGTGCTACACCTGGGTCGGGGCAACCCCTGGCATCAATACAAGCTGGGGGATGAAGGGATTGAGAGCAGCCCTGCTGAGAATGACTTGGGGGTGCTGGTGGAGGCTGGACATGACCCAGCAATGTGCACTCAGAAAGACAACTGTGTCCTGGGCTGCATCAAAAGCAGTGTAGGCAGCAGGTCAAGGGAGGGGATTCTGCCCCTCTACCCTGTTCCACTGAGACCCCACTTGGAGTGATGCATCCAGCTCTGGAGTCCCCAGTGCAGGAAGGACATTTACCTGTCAGAGCAAGTCCAGAGGAGGCCACCAGGATGATTAGAGGGATAGAGCATCTCTCCTACAAGGAAAGGCCAAGAGATTGGGTTTGTTCATCCTGGGAAAAAAAAGGGCTTTGGGGTGACCTAATTGCAGCCTTCAAGTACCTGAAAGGGCCTACAAGATAGATGGAAAAGGACTTTTTACAAGAGCATATAGTGAAAGGACAAAGGGGAATGGCTTCAAACTGAAAGAGATTAGGTTTAGATTGGATATTAGGAAAAAATCCTTTACTGTGAGGGTGGTGAGGCTCTGGAACAGGTTGCCCGAAGAGGCTGTGGATGGCCCATCCCTGGAAATGTTCAAGGCCAGGCTGGATGGAGCTCTGAGCAACCCAGTCTAGTGATGGGTGTCCCTGTCTATGGCAGGGAGGTTGGAACTAGATGACCTTTAAGATCCCTTACAACACAGGACATTCTACGATCTTGTTCTCAGTACTCAGATCTGCTCAAGTTCCACTGGAGGTGAAATTTTCCATGCAGAAGACCTGTTTCTGCATTCACCAGAGTACACACAAGTCTGGCTACTCAGCAAGCCAGCATCCTCCTCAGTAGCAAAGACAAAAGTCCATTCTCCCATATTTGGGGAATTAGTCAAATACCTTGGACTCCAGGCCAACCTAGCTCAACCACGTTGAAAAGACACTATACCTGTACATCCATGTATTTATAGAAGATTTCTGTATGCCACAACACTTGAAATATAATCTTGAAACCTCTAAGAAAAGACTGAACATACCTTGCTGTTACACAGATAACGAACTGAAGCACACGAATCTGTAAGCGCTTCCTTCCACTATGTCCAACAGCAAGAAAAAGTGCTGATTAAGATAAAAGCTTGGCAAACATTTGAACAACTTAAATCCATGCCTTTACAAATTTCTTAGAGCTTGACTTCTCAACCTGTGTTTTCTTCTTTTTTTCTGAAGTTTAATTTCCTAAAGAAACGATGAAGGTAACAGAGCACTTATTTGTCTGTGCATGCTAACCCATAGGTGAATTTTAAACAGACCTGGCAAGAGTCTCACAGTCATTTAGAGGAGCAGTGCACAGCACTGCTCCTCCAGGAAAAAGAGATCACTGAAGATTACAGGGGGCAATGCATGTGAAAAAGACATGGTCGGCAGAACTTGCCAGGGAACAGAAGGAAATTCAATCCCAAGTTGTAAAGCCACAGGCAAAAGAAGCTGTTAAAACAATTATTTACTGTGTTCCATAATATGTATACCACAACATCTCATAACCTCAAGTTCTTCTATTTACCATGAGATCTGGCACGAACATGTGAAACCAATCAAATACCCCTTCTCCAGCTACTTCAAAGGCCTGTAAGAGGCCCTCACAAAACAAATCACTCACTGGAAATCTCAGACATGAGAGTGCATTTCTTTCAGACAGACTGGGAGATGCAGCTTCTAGGCACTCATAAAGATCAGAGATTAGAAAGTATTTCTGTTCTCTTATCTGTCAGAAGACTGTCTTAATTGGGGATTCATTCTCCTGCTGAGAGTGCAACCAAGAAAATTCCTGGAGCTAGAGAAAAGGAGGAGGAGTCTGATCTGGCTCCTTATGATCCATGAAGACTAGGCTTTGCCTCCGGAATTTTCTTCAAAGGACTCCTTAATGACTGAATCCCCAATTCAATCATCTTTTTTCCCTGGCAAGTGGAATTCTTGTGCTTGTTGCATCTTTGCTAGTAAAAGGGGACCTGCCATTCATTGGCCATTAAAAATTGTTTTTTATATATACATGTGTGAACAAATGAAGCCCTTTTCCCAATCCTTAAGATACCTAGGCAAGCAAACAGGAATTTCTGAGACCACCAAAAGAACTGCAAGCCTAGAATTTAGCCATTACTCATCTCTACTGATAGGCACGTATTTCCTGCCAAGGTCTTCTTGTCCTGACAGCACACACAAGACAGCCATTTCACACTGGCAAAAGCACTGCTGAAGCTGTATTTTTCCCATGCATATGGGCATTATTCTCTTCCCCCCAAAATAACAAGTTCAGCTTCTTCTAGCAATGTTTATCCTGCAGAGGTTGATAAAGCAGAGTGAGAAAGACCTCCCTGCCATGCTTATGTCACATCAGCCCTCCAGCTTTCCTAATATAAAACAGCACTTCCTCTTTGCATGAAATATGCTCATGAACTACTGGCTCATTTTTCAGACTTGGTAGTCTTAGCTAACCAAAGTGTTTCGGTTCCAGCTGCATATTTAGGTATCTGAAACTCTCTTAGCTTGCAGTCTCAAGAACACAAGAGGTACACACACTCACAAATCAGGGGTTCTAGCAAGGCAAGTGAAAGAACAAACACCCTTTCCTGTTTCTTTTCCATGATGTAGTTCAGTGAGAAAATTCAAGCACAACACAGGGCATGGACAGGCAATTCAATAAAGTATCCTACACTGGGGCTGCATTTCTTCTATTGTGTTGTTTAAATTTGCTTCCTTCAGACAGTGGTTCAACTAAATCGATAAAAAAGTTCTCCAAAAGCTCTCATGCTCCAACCTATAAAACAACCTAGTCAGCTACTCTTTAAAAAGAAGATTTTTATTGAATATATTCCTTCTGCTGAACTATAAAGAAATTCAGAAGCAGCATTTGCTTTCCTCAACATGTTGACGCTGCAAGAGGGAAATAAAGTTCTCTCTCATCTTATAATTGCTCTGTACTTCCTATGACTGCATACACATCAGAATAGCTGCAAAAGATACTGGGAGCCACCCAACTACCACAACTTGTTTCACCCTTTATTGAAAGAGACAGACAACAATTTTTATGTTTGATCCCCTGACAAACAAATCTAAATGCATCTATTAATGTTTTTGATAGTTACAATATTCATGAGCATTGCAGAAGGTACTCACATCTCTTGGTACTCAAAGTATTAATCCTGTAGCCTCTGAGATCGGATTCTATGTACTTCCCTGTTTTACAAATGAGGAACTGAGGTGTATGAATGCTTAAATGCGTCTACAAGCCTGACCTCTGGTAGCTAAACAAGCAGTTAGAAGGCTGCTGGAACTTTCAAAGCATTTCAATTTTGCAATCTGAATTTTCCTTTGTTTTTACTCACTGGTCCTTCTTCTAAGATCCTCACACACCCTGCAGGACAGCACTTCCTCATAGGAACGTGCCACCACCACTCATCCTTGTTCCTCCAAAGTTGCTGTGGAAAAGATGAGAGGTAGGTTAAGGACAGAATTTTGGAGCAAACTGTTGAACAATAAAGTGGGGGTTTTCCACTGAGAATACTGCACACCACTCACAGGTCATGCTACAACTGAGACAAAACTGACCTGAGCCATACATAAGCCACTGGATCACACAAAAGACTACGTCACAAACAGACCCATGTGCCAGCCCTCTAACGCCAGTATCCCTGGTCAGAACACAGCTCCCATTAGCTTGGCATGAGATGCAGCAATAAAAATTTATGAGCTTTAAGTGTGCTGTGTTTCATCCTCTAAACCCACAGTTTCACTAGCAGTGGATATTTGGTTTAACCCAGTATACATACTGCTATAGCCTGCACACTTGTCGCGGTGCAACACTTCAGATTCATATTATGCACTGCATAAGCACATCTCATTTGAATGCTGCTTTATAAGGACCACGTACTTTATGTAAAAAGAAGAGGTATATTCAGAAGATACAGACCCAACTTTTCTCTCACTGACAAACTGTTGCAGTCATTAATTACTTGCTGTCTGGAATGTGTAACAAAGCACCTTCCATTTTTAACATTTAACCTACTAAGAGGGTAAAACCAAATTAAAAGATACCCATTTAGGTCTCAGCACCATCCTCTGCAATGGAAGGAGAGGATTTAAGACTGATGAGGTGTTTTCCATACTTATGCACATAAACCTTACAAATGTTTACAAACAATGATCTGCTCCAAATGGTGTCTTCTCTGTTGATAGACTGCTCATACTCAGAAGGATGCATCAGCTGAAACCTGACTGCCAATTAATGCAACAGCCACAAATTCAGAAATTGGAACGTATTTCAAAACTATCACTAAGGTGACCTACTCTACATATTGCATGTTATCTCTTTGACACAACCCACGCCTTTGAAACTTAAATGAGCAACTGGCTCTGTAATCACAGATGGTAGTAGAGCATGGCTCTGTTTTCTCATGACTCAGAAGTTCACAAATTTCAAAGGAGATTTTTACCCTTTAAGCATCAATGAGATGTTCCTGCAAAATAACGGTGTAGATATATGCAGCCTAAACTCAGGTACCTGCACAGTGGAGTCAAAATCCATTTGCACACTTCAGAAGTTAAAAGTCACAGACAACTATACTAATTTTGTTTGAAAGGAGGTGTCGGAACATAAGAATATCTGTCCTGGGACACCGAATGCACAGGAAACACATTTACCAGTGAAAGACAAGAGGCATTCCCATATGTTTTGGGGTTTTAGAAGTTATTGCTATTACACTGACTAGGGTTACTTGATGAAATGAGTAAGTATGAGGTGAATCAGGATGCTAATGCACAGCAGAATTGAGAACAATCATTTGCCCTAATCCCTACTGTTTTAAGAGTTTGTAAAGACAATGCTAAATTTAGGAATGAGGTACAGAAAGACCACACTGACTGGCACAAGTCTGGACAGGCACTCAGAAGCTGACAGTGTTTTAGAACATCAATCCAAATCACTTTCCTATTGTATTCCAATATGAATCATGTGCATTCAGGGAAGATTTGGAACCATAATAATTTTATTAGACTTTCCTGCCATCAGCAGATTGGAGTAAGATATCAGTACATCTCCTCCCTCCAGGCCATTTAAAGCTATGAACCAAGTGATACTTCTGATTCTAGGAAACCCTCTGCAAAACACTCTCATGTAGAACAAAAGGAAAAGAGCACAGCTGCTGCATGTGTAGTTTCTATGGAGTTCTACAAAAAGCAGGTTTTCCACTCTGCTCATTACCTACAAGCAGCAAGAAAAGGAGAAGGGTGAAGAAGTTCTGCCATGGACAACTAAGTATTGGCTTGGAAGATATTGGACTGTGATCCACAAAACTTGGAGAAGTTATCTTAAATTCCACGTACACACAGATATTATACATGTCAGTGGCTGTCTGTTGAGATATGCAGAAGCTGGGTCTCAAGAGTACTGGCAGACACTCATTTTTGTTATAAACACCTTTAAATGCAATCCTTATAAAGGTAAAATCTATATGGGATTCCGTAGGACAAAATAATTTTGCCCAACTGCCAAGCACAGTATTTATCAGTAGTATTCTTTTGCTTGCTCCTTCCGTCCTAATCACCAACCAATAGCTGGGAACAAGCTGATCTACTTTTTCAAAATCATGAGGTGATCACAAAGCTGAAAACAGTTACATGCCACGGGCCCAAGTGCTGGCAACAAGCAAAGACACAGAACTCTACTGTGGCAGGGAACTGAAGAAAGAGGGTCAGGTTTCAAGACAGACCTAAGTGAGAAAAAGCTCCAGGAAAGCAAATTCTAGCCTGCAGACACAGGAACCCCAGGATAGTGCTAACCCTCAGTACTACAGACATACACTAACCAGGAAAGCTGTCTTGCTTCTAAGTCCATCCAGCTGCTGTACCACTCCTTTAACACATAAAGCATCCTGCATCTGACATGTTCAGTGTTTAAAAAAAAAAAAAAAATCTTCTCTCTAAAGATTATTTCCATGATTATCTGCTGCCTCCAAAGAAATGAGAAAATCCTTCAGCAACTCCTGACAGGGGTTCCTCATTCACAGGTCTTCTTTGTGGTCTACACTGTAAGTAGAGCTGTATTCTTGTCCTTCTGAAGGACAGCTCCCAGTTGTGCAACACACCAGACATGTGCCCTAGTGAGGCAAGATCTGGATCTCCAGATGCACCCTGCAGGTGACTGGCAATTTTTTTCAACTTCATCAGCAGTCATGGTGTTGTTCAGCCGTGGTACATGTTATAAGTTAGTATAAGAATTTAGACAACTCAATTCCAATTAAACATTGATAAATTTATTAAGCAAGCGATAATAAAGCAAAACAGCGCTGGGTGGCCTGGAGGGCAAGTGCCCTGCCGAAGCACACACCAAAATGTAGTAAATGTTCCTTTTTATACATTTCCAAGTCCCGAGGTTTTAATGCGGCTGCGTTGAGGCTTGAGTTTGTAGCTCATTCTTAAGTGGTCATCTGGTATTTGTCAGAGATGAAAGGTGCAGTTTCTTATCAGTTGTAAATTTTACTGATACTGATACCTGTTTGCTTAGCAAGATGTCTGCAATTATTTTTACTGATACTTGCTTGATTAACAGGATGTCCATGAAACTTATCTTGTTGAATTATAACAAAAGTTCCTTATTCCCTCATACACGTAAGATTTTATGAACAAAGTTAACCCTTCTATTACAGTACAGGTTCTTGATCATTCTCATAAGCGTGCACACCCTTCCTGCACAGAGAGACAGACCTCTCAACACACACTCATCATGTTGTGCTGTCTGTACAAGGTTATTTTGCAGGCAGCCTGTAGGGCTTAGCCACTTGAAAACATGAACTCCCAGAGCTCCAGTGTAGTCTCTCCTGCAGCATGATATGCAGCGTCATCAGGACACTTAAATTCTTCCATGTGGATGTGCTAAGTCCCTGCAACCCTCAGTAATTTTGATCAAAACTGCTGAGCAGGTCAACTGAAGGCAGAGGAAGGAAGGAGGCAGGAGGACAAAACAGCTCCTCGACTTTTTTTTATTAGAAAAAGAAGTGTAAAGGAAGAGAACTTGTTCCCAGAGTGCATGCACGTTTTTGTACAAATCTATAAATTGTGTAAATTGTGGTTAATATTAAAGTTATATGCCCTCGAGTCCTTTTTCAGGAAGGAAGATAAATATTCAATGCAAAAATTTTAAGTTCAAATACAGAACGACAGTATTAACTAACATGTTCATAGCATCTCAAATTTGAGTGGTCCTTCACAAAAACTTTCAATAATTGAAGGTCTGACTTCAGAAACAATCCACACAGGCATTTGCAAATAGGTTTCCAATCTAGTAACAACCCTCCTCAAGAGAATGTACCGGTGCGATTTTGTACTAAATAATTTATGACAGACAACCAGTACTTTTAAGTCCAGCGTGGACTTTCCCTGACAGAAGAAGGAGGGCTGCAGAATCCTTCTTTCCTACTGGCACTGGCTGGCAAAGCTCATGCTGTGATATCACTTCAGACAGACACAGTTACACACCACTCCCAGTAAATCTGGAGCACACATATCTCTGGCCTGCTCCCATTTCTACATTTTCAAAGGTTGCCCCAAATCTCTTTCTTCACTTTTTCTGAATAGCAAATAAGGAAAAAGAAGATGCTTTCCACAAAGTATTATTTTAAAAAAAGCACTGGTATGACTCTCCCACAACTATATGCCAATACCATGTGTTTTATTCACAACTGTGGCGGCAGCAGCAGCAATGTTTCATCATATTTACCATATGGAAGAAAGAATTCACTGAAAAATAAATCTAACTCTCCTAGCATCGAATTAATATCCAAAGTCTACAGTTAAGATCCAAGAGCGCCAAACACTGTGACAGCTGAAATTTACAATCAGCAACTCAAGTTACTGAAACTTGAAAGTCTACTGAGAGCGACAAACAGCAGGGCACAAACCAATGCTACAGTCACAACCCAGAATTCAATTAATAAACTCATTTAGCTTAGGATAATTAAATGGACATGTGTTTCTCCCCTACTGTGTAAGGGAAATCCCTGAAATCAGTTGGGTTTGGCTTTTTAGTTTTTTGTTTTCCTTTAATCTGTTAGCTTTCCAAGAAGGAATACCTGCATTAATGAACTGAACAGTAGGTGAACAGATACATATCTCTATAACAGGGAGACGTGAGGTCACTCCAAGCACCTTGGATATTTCTTGGGACTACTATTGTCACCACCACATATGCCAAACAGCATCTAACTTGTAAAAGCCCATCCCATGCTCTCGCTTTTCCAACCCATTGGCTGCAACTTTCTGCAAAGTTTTACCAAAGAAAAATACTCTCTTTCTTCCTGCAAGCTAGCAAAAACATAAACACCTCTGCTGTATGGATACCTGCATCGGAACATGACTTTTTCTCAATGGGAAGGCCTAGGCTATGCCTGGGACACGTGTTAT